CTCCCATACACTCCACGCATGTCATTGTACATTAATGCGCCTATCTTGTACATTACCTTCTTTCACTAGACCGATTCCCTCTTTCCGTAGTCGTTCTTTCCTGGGGTTGTAGGATTTCTCGATATATCTCACGCCCGCCATCATGGCCGCTAGTACCAATGACGCTTCCAAGTCTGGTGAGCTTCCCGCGCCCGCACACGACACCAGCCCTGATGGAAATTTTCCCGGGGCACAATAGGAACCTGTGCAGCTTTTGGAAATAGCATGGCTAACGAGATTGATATCGCAGAGGTCGAGAAGACTCCCACCAAGGACGTAACTACAGATGGACCAACTGAGGGCACAGAGGAAGATGGCGCTGGCCAAATGCCAGACAGTATGTCAATCGACGACGCAAGTATGAGAGTCGACAGACTGATCATGTCTAGACATCTTCCAGGTCACCATCAAGCTCCCACATGAGCCATTCGAGATGCCAATAACGGTGTGTACGTAAAAGAAAACATGGTCAACGAAAACTCATTTCCGCCAGATCTCGACGGCCGAGCAGGTGCAAGACCTCCGTCAGAACATCATCGAGACGCCGCATACCTTCCAGTACTCATGCTTTCACCTAGAGCATGATGGCGAGCGAATCAACGATTACGTCGAACTCTCTGAAGTCAAGGGACTAAAGGCCGACTCGGTGCTCACTCTGGTCGAGGATCCGTACACGGAGAAGGAGGCGCGGTTACATGTTGTCCGCGTGCGGGAGCTCATCGGCGCTGCTGGTGACCGCACCGATGCGCTGCACGGTATCATGGCCGGACTGTCATTGCACGACACTGTGGGACACGAGCAGGCCTCGAAGCCAAAGGCCGATGGCCCGGAGCAGTCTCCATTGGCCGACTACGACTTCAAGGCATCAGGCGCTATCAAGAACCTGCTGCCTCCCACTGAAGAGGCCGCGCCCAAGACGATCAAATCCATCGCCGTATCGCCTTGGAACCCCCCGCCATACCACCTCCGGTCCAAGGGCCACCTGCTGTACCTGGTAGTCACCACCAACGAGAACGAGCAACACCACATCACAGCTCACGTCTCTGGCTTCTACGTCAACAAATCGTCGAATGCCAGTTTCGATCCGTTCCCACGACAGCCACCAAAGGACAAGCAGGCACACTCGCTTCTCACTCTACTTGAGGAGCTGTCGCCGTCTTTCCGCTCTTCGTTCCAGGAACTGCTCGAGCACAATGCGAAGAAGGAGTTGCTTACCATCTTCCAGCTCTCCAACGCCATTCCCGCCAACCCCTGGCTGGTACCCGCACCCACCTCGTCCCTCACCCCACATCAGCCAGATCTGGCGCGGACACAGGAGAGCTACCTGATCTCAGGTGTTGAGAACACCGAGACACTCCGTGACTGGAATGAAGAGTTCCAGTCGACCAGGGAGATGCCAAAGGAGGCTGTCCACGACCGCGTCTTCCGCGAGCGCCTTACTTCGAAGCTCTTCGCCGACTACAACGATGCTGCAACCCGTGGTGCCATGTTGGTAGCACGGGGCGAGATTGCGCCACTCAACCCTACCGAGGCCAAGGATGCGCAGATCTTCGTGTACAACAACATCTTCTACTCGTTCGGTGCTGACGGCGTTGGCACATTCGGCGCCGAGGGTGGTGATGAGGCTGCACGCGTAGCTGTCGGCAAGGACGTTTTCGGCGTCCGCGCTGTAAATAACCTTGACATCCAGAACCTCTTCACCTCTGGAACCGTTGTCGTAGACTACCAAGGAAAGCGTATTGTCGGCCAGAGCATAGTTCCCGGAATCTTCAAGCAGCGCGACCCCGGTGAGCACCAAATCGACTATGGTGCGGTTGAGGGCAAGGAGATTGTCGCCGACGACAAGTCGTTTGTCCCGCTGTTCGAGCAGCTCTCCAAGGCGCTGCGCGTCAAGAAGCATCCCGTCTGGGACAAGGACAACGTCCGTCACGAGCTTGAGGGAAGTGTTGAGACTAAGGGTCTGATTGGTACAGACGGCAGGCGCTACGCTCTGGACCTCTACCGCCTCACACCTCTCGATGTCGCCTGGATAGAGGCGCACTGGACTGAACCCAGCAAGGAGGGTGAATCGAAGCCATCAGACAAGGACTACCCCCACCGTATGACAACGCTCCGTCCTGAGCTTGTAGAATCATACGGCAGGCTCAAGCTTCGCGAGTACGTCAAGAACGAGATGGCCAAGAAGACGACAAAGAAGGACGAAGCTTCTGCAAAGGAGACCAAGGCCGAAGAAAGCTCGTCAGAGGAGGAATCTTCGGAAGAGGAGTCTTCTGAAGAGGAATCATCCTCGGAAGAGGAAGACTCTGATGAGGAAGAGGAGAAGGAGGAGAAGGCCCCCAAGGCCAAGAAGCTCTCAAAGGCAGAGAAGAAGGCTGCGGAGAAGGCTGCCAAGGTCGCAAAGAAGGAATCTGAGAAGAAGCCTGATGCTGAAGACCCAGAGCAGGAGCGCGTCGACATCTCTGGCTTCTCGTTTGCGCTTAACCCTGACGTCTTCTCTGGCCAGAACCCGCAATCTGAGGAGGACAAGAAGGAGTGGGAGAAGGACGAGGCCGAGGTCCGTGCTGCTTGTGAGCACCTCACATCAGAGGTCATTCCCCGTATGATCCAGGAACTCAAGGATGGCGAAGTCGGCTTCCCAATGGACGGCCAGTCCCTGAGCAACCTCCTGCACAAGCGGGGTGTAAACATCCGCTACCTCGGAAAGCTCGCCGAACTGGCTGACCAGGAAGACCCCAGGCTCCAGGCTCTGAAGCGTCTTATTATCCAAGAGATGATTGCACGTGGTTTCAAGCACTTGGCCAACTCCAAGCTGCGCAACGTGTCTGCGCCTTTCGCAGCACCGACCGCTGCTCACCTGCTCAACTGCTTGCTCGGCGCTGACGTTAGCACGAAGCCGGTAGCTGAGTGTGACAACGATCTTAAGAAGATGTACCCCGAGGACGACTTCAGCTTCGAGAAGCTCACACCCGAGACTCTGAAGAAGGAGGTCCTTGCTCAGGTTGCTCTGCGATACCGCTACAACCTGGGAGATTCGTGGATCGAGTCAGGCAAGGAGCTTCAGATGCTCCGTGAGGTCTCACTCAAGCTGGGTCTTCAACTAGAGTCCAAGCCATACGCCTTCACCAAGGCGGCGTTTGAGGCAAGCGCTCCGACTGAGAAACCCGCTGCGCCACAAACAAACGGCCACTCCACATCTAGCAAGAAGAAGAAGAACAAGTCTACATCCACTCCGCCAGTGCGCACAGTTAGCCCCACTGTCGCCCTTGCTCCACAAACCTTCCATGCGGACGATATCCTGAACATCGTACCTGTCATCAAGGAAGCTTCACCTAAGAGCTTGCTAGCTGAGGAGGCACTGGAGGCTGGTCGCATGTCGATTGCTCAAGACCAGAAGGAGCTAGGACAGGAACTGCTTCTGGAATCTCTCCAGCTTCACGAGCAGATCTACGGTGTTCTGCACCCTGAGGTAGCCAAGGCCTACCATACCCTGTCTAACTTGCTCTACAGCCTCGACGACAAGGTCTCGGCTCTTGAGCTCGCACACAAGGCTATCATCGTGTCTGAGCGTACTCTTGGTGTTGACCACGCTGACACTGTGCTTGCCTACCTTAATGTTGGTTTGTTCGAGCATGGCTCGGGTAACACCACAGCTGCTCTGATCTACGTGCGTCACGCTCTTGAGCTATGGAAGATCATCTATGGACCTGACCACCCTGACTCTATCACCACTCTCAACAACGCTGCTGTTATGCTGCAGGCCGCAAAGATGTACCATGAGTCCCGTCTCTGGTTCGAAGCATCACTCGCCGTCTGTGAGGACGTCTGCGGCAAGAACTCGATCAACACAGCTACCCTGCTATTCCAGACCGCCCAAGCTTTGGCGCTTGACAAGGACATGCGCGGCGGTGTCAACCGTATGCGCGAGTCCTACAACATTTTCAAGGAGGTTCTCGGTGCTGAGGATCGCAACACCAAAGAGGCTGAGAGTTGGCTTGAACAGCTCACTCACAGCGCAGTCTCTCAGGCCAAGCAGCTCAACGATCTCGCCAAGACCCGCATCCGTCGAATGCAGCTTCCCGGCCGTAACCCACTTCGACCGGCTGCTGCGACGCCTTCTGCTAGTGACGCCGCTGCCGCTGCCGGAGGTCAGCGCACTGGAAGTGGAAGGGTTGACCAGCGCAAGATTGAGGATCTTCTCAAGTACATTGAGGGAGACTCGCAGAAGGCGCCGAGCAAGAAGAAGCAGACGAATCCTAGGAAGAGGTAGATTGTGTATCGTTTCTGACTCGTGTTACGAACGAGTCGCTACGCGTAAAGTTATGCTGTAGTCTCCTCGAACGATGTGTATCATACTGGACCTGTTCGTGCAACATGCTTCGGCAGCTCTCACGAACCTGATATGCTTTTCCTCTTTGGGTTTTGGGCATGGCTTGCATCTTTGGAGTTTACGGGATGGATGGTGACGAGATGGGATGTCTTCACGACATACCGGCGGTAAAAAAAAGTTCTTCCCTGCTATACTATAAGCTAGATTAGGGCGGCTGGGTAAGGACAAAAGTTACGTCGGGTGTATATGGACTGGTAAATAAGGATGATGGGAGGATATGGACGACGAATGACTAGATGTTTGTACTCAATACCAATGCAAGAATATCTCCTCTTCACAGACGGTGTCGTTGTGGTACAATGTATGTTTTGCAGATGGATTGAGGACCTTAGGCCACCTGCACAACCATGACGTGGCGACCTTGAGGCTACCACCACCCCATGGAGAAGCTCCACTCGAGGCTGCACCGCCTCAATGTAGATTGAAGATCTCGGCATCTCCATCCGAACCAAGCTCTAAATAACAACGCCTTCGAAGCTTGTAGCTACAGCAACTTTCTCCGCCAGAACAACATAAGCTTTGAATCAACTGTCACCAAACGACCCTGCCACGAACGACAACAGCAAACGCAAAAATGTCTGAATATTTCGGCGGAGTGCAAGCACTCTCCGGTGGCCTCGCCAACCAAGAACAGCTCCGTCGAAACGCAATAAGAAAATTGGAAGCAGAGGGCAAGATTGAGAAGGGTTCTTGGGAGAGGGAAATGGCATCGATAGATCACGATGGCGTGGCCACGAAGAAGAAAGAGGTGAGCAAAGCCGAGGAGACAGGGAAAGAATATCTGGGTGGTACGAATGCTGGTGGACGGACTAGCACTACGGTGTATGAGGCACCATCGACATATGAATCCAAGGAAGAGGGCTCCACTGGAGATGGAGAGGCATCGACAGGTGTGAAAGGTGCTGTGCGCAAGCTGTTTAAGAAATGAGGGGTAGGAGAGGCGGGTGGAACGTGAACAATGGATGGAAGACGTAGTCAACACTTAATACCAATTGATGCAAGATTGTCTCCTCTTTGGATCTGGTGTTCAGTATGGTATGGTGGACTCGATGTGAAGAGGTGATTTGTACGTGCCTATCCCTCGGTCCATCACCACACCGTAGAAGCTCCACTCGAGCTTTACAAGGTTCCTTCTCGGCACATCGCTATCCGAACCAAGCTCCAAATGCACAACCCCTCCGAAGCTATACAAAGCTCCCCCGCCAAACGCCGTACACAGGATTTCTCCTTTGACAAGAGCAATACACACAGGAGCTCCATTTAACCCAAACTGCGCACTCACTCGCATACGGCCCCCTTCCCAGCTCAGAGCTGAATAACTTGAAGAGAAAGTTGAAACGAGATGGCATCAAACCAAGGACCCCGGCGGATCGGACAATGGTTGTATCTCCGACCAGAGTGTATCGACGAGTATAAGAAATGTCATGCGGCTGTGTGGCCAGAAGTACTAGAACAGATCAAAGACAGCAATGTTAGGGATTGTATGTCGCCTGTCTTTTGTTTGCCCTTGTCTTATACAGGATTAACATTTGTTAGACTCTATATTCCTCTCTCTTTCGCCTCGACCCACTCTCTTCGCCTCGTTCAAATACGTCGGAAACGCGTTTGACGAGGATATGGCACGCATGGCCGCCAACAAAAAGGTGCAAGAGTGGTGGGCCATGACGGATGGAATGCAAGAATCACCAGTTGAGGGGGCGCAGGGGAGCGCAAAGGGACCGGGATGGTGGGGACAGACCGAAGAGGTGTTTTATGTGGAGTAGGAAGAAGGGGAACGGGAAACAAGGACAATGAGAACGAGAAAAAAAAAAGTGAAATAATTGGTATCGAAATAAGCTACCGGACATTGCGTCGCCACTCGACACACCCATGTGTCTTCTGTCCAAAGGAAACCAAATAACGTCTCGGTTTCTCCTTCCCACGTCCTACATGCTGTGACATTAAAGACAAATGTGTCAGGCAATTAATGCTTCCCACACTAACACACGCTATGGCTACCTCGATGCCACAACTTCGCTTTGTCTGTCTGTGCAGCCCTTACAACGGCTCGTAGTCGGCACTGGTGTCTCCAACCCATCCATACCACAAGGCAACCACTGTATTCGCCGCAACCCACACACCGGCATATCCAACCGCACCAACAACGTCGGTACCAATGAGCGTCATACACCGTTGGACAGTACCGGCGAACAAGAAGGCGTTGAGAATAAGCGTCTGTTGGATCAGTGTCCTAGTCCTCTTGCTGAAGTTGAAGAAGTTGTGTTCAAGCGTCTTGGGCAGGGTCGCGGTTGCGGGATCGAAGTCGTCAGCCGGTGTCTGGGTACCGGAGCGCTGGGCTGCGAATGAAGGGTTGAGCAAGAAGGCCTTGGCGGCAATGCCGACAACGACAGTCTTGATGAGGATGGACACAGGGGTCTCGAGATGTGCGGCTTCCAGGGTGGGGATGTCGAAGTACTGGACGAGGAAAGTGTTGAGGAGACCGCTCTTCAGGCCAGCCCAGAGAATGGTAACGTAGACGCCTGCTGCGAGCATCGAGGAAGAGACCTGGACCTGCACGCTGTTGAGGAGGAAGCGGTTGCGCAGGGGCTCGTTGCTCCTGTGGACGATGGAGCGTGGGCGGAGGAGGTACGTGGGTACGGCGAAGGAGAGGACCTCGATGGAAATGTTGGCCGCGGCGGTCAAGGCCGAGATGTCGTAGAAGGTGGTAAGGAGGTAGGTAAAGGGCGCGTAGGTGAGGACGGTGAGGGCCGAGACATCGTAGAAGTCGTAGCTGAAGTACCACGTCATCCAAACCGTCAGGAAGCGCATGGCAATGCGCGCGACGGGCGAGTAGAAAGACGTGACATCGTCCTCGTTGGGCACTTTGCTGACGGCGCCCAGCTCGGGCTGGAGGAAATTGGCGGTAAACTCCCAGAGCAGCATGTTGATGCCCATGTTCAGGCTGATGAGGATGGGCACGCGCAGCGCCGTGGGGAGACGCGATCGTACGGGCGCGCGTGTCGTCGCATTGGGGACGACATGTGGCGCTTGGCGCTCCATGACTGCCGTGGGTGCCATTTGTCGCGTCGTGTCGCGTTGCTGTCGCGTTGTCAATGTGGGTGGGAAGAAAAGAAAAGTGCGAGTTGATGTGCGCGCAAGGCTGGGATCGATCGCGCCTCGGTGGGGAGAATGAATGGATGGGTGGTGGCAGGAAGCCTGAGTGCGAGCTAGTCGACAACTTTGTTTTGGAATGACGCAGCTTGCGAAAACAGTGAACAGCGCCCGTGCGCACTCGAAAACACGGCCAAGACTTATTGCACTCCATGGATACACACTTTCTAAGCATTGCAGGGCGGCATCTTGGTTGTGAAAAGGATCATATCAGTCCATTAAGCAGTCATATTTACAGTCGTCCAGGCCATGTGCTACAACACTATCCATGCTCTAGACAAGATACCTAAAGTCTCCCATCTTCTTCTTGCCCTCCTCGACATCAACGCCCTCCACAGCAGCAGTCTGTTCGGCAACATCGTCATGCACAACCCAGGCGTCAAGTCCATCGTCCAACCGCTTGTTCAGTCGGACCAGGATAATCTTGAAGATGAGACAACCAGCAATCGTAACACCAAACATGGCCGTAACAACTCCGTAGCTGTTCCTGTAACCATTGTCCGACATGTTCCACACATATGATCCAGCAATATTTCCCAGCTGCGAGAACGCATTGATCATAGCGATGGCGACAGCACGCTTGGCTGGTGGGCGCGGGAACGATGAAGAGATCCACGAGTAGAAGACGATGAATCCGGCGTAGGATGACGCCTGGAGGAACAAAGCAACGTAGCGGCCAGCAGTGTTCGATGTAGCCATGGAGATGACAAACCCAACAATTCCGAACATAATTGGACCAACGATATGCCAGAAACGTTCTTGCTGGCGATCGGCGTGCCACGCGTTGATGAGAGATACGACGCAAGCGAACGCCCACGGAGGTGCAGACATGAGCAGTGTGGTGATGTATCCGAAGCCGAGGGTCCTTGTGAGTGTTGGGAAGAAGGCGTTAAATGACAGTCCAACGACGTATGCGGTAAACGTCAACATCATGACATAGATCTTGACATCCTTGACAGCCATGTAGAGACCAGCGAAAGCAGATTGCTCGGCGGAATCTTCATCTGCTTCGCCTACATCCTCTGTCATGCGCAGAACAGCAACGGCGCGTTCTTCCTCGGTGAAACCCTTGGAGTTGTGCGGGAGATCCGGCAAGATCCATATCGCGCTGATAGCAATCGCCATCGTCGCCGCACCCTCGATCCAGTACAGCCACCTCCAAGCTCGGTGTCCAAGAACTCCTTCCATGTTTCCTAGTACAGCGGCTCCGACCAAGGAGGAAAAGGCGTTGGAAATCAGGTTTCCGCAGAACAGAATGGCGTTGCGGAGTGTGAGTTCGCGGCGCGTGTACCATTTTGAGAGAATGAGGAGCGCTCCGGGCAGGAAGGCAGCTTCGACGAAACCGATGAAGAAGCGGATGGCTACCATGCCGGCGAAGTTGTTGACATTACCCGAGAGGGTAGAGATCATGCCCCAGATCAACATAACGACGGCGATGTAGAGGGACGGTCTTGGTATTTTGTTGATAATCATGTTCGATGGCACTTGCATCAAAATGTATCCAACGTAGAGAATACTCAGACATGTCGAGTACTGTGTTGGACTAAGACCAAGATCTTCCTCAAGACCACCGAGACGCGCTGCGGCAATGTTGTTTCGGTCGAGGTCTGGTTGAGAACAAAGGTCAGCGAAAAGCGTCTTTCGTATCCGACGCGGTCAACTTACAGTTCATGATGTAGATCAAGACGAAAAGCGAACACCGTGCATCCAGCTTCCGCTTCAGCTTCTTCTCGACTTCCTGCCTCCTCTCTGGGCTCATGTTGGCAGCGAGACCACCAGGCTTCGTGTGGTGCTCCGACACCTGAGCCGCATCTTGAGCAGAGATCTTGTCGTCTGCGGGATATTGCGTCGACGCCATCTTCGCGATCCTCTTCTCTTGTTCTGCAATGGACGAGATGCGAGAAACCTCGATAGACATTCCATGCAACTCTGGGGTCCCCTCTTAATATACCAAAAAGTCGGAGATACCGACTCCCACTACCCACTTGCCATTACGGGGCCCTCCAGATTATTTACCACCCTACCCCACTATCTTGGCCTGCATCGAACCAAACACCGTTACATGGTGTGCGCGCATACCCCAACGAGAACGTGCATATACGCGCCCCAGTCATTCTATCAAAATTTTCTTGTAAAACCAGAGTGCTGGTATGGGGTGTGTCAAGCGCACGATTCAGGTCATGTGTGGGAAGAAAGCGGCGATTGTTGGCGTCTGGCGTCCTTGCCCGCATATGTGCTCTTCCCCGCATTAGTCGTAGTGCGCCATTGGACGACTAAATCTTCTTCCTGATAGTTCATATCCGTTGACTCGTTTCCCAGCTGGCCCAGCATCTTGGCCCGGGGTTTTGGCGACACTTGACATGTCCAAGACGTTGCCCAAGAAAACACTTGACAAGTGTTGCGCGGGATGGGCTTGCTTCCGTGGGCTTGGTTCCTGTCAACGCCTGGGGATGGCTGCCCGGTAATCGAGGCCGGCTTCTGCGCATTGGCATCAGACACCGAGCCGACTGTCGCGAGCCAGTATCCATATCCGATAACCGCGCTTGCGCGTTAATGCATCCCGAAGCGAACTACCAGTGCCGCCCCCCAACAAACGGGACGGCGACGGGTTCTGAACAGCGGATTTTGAGCCGCAAGTCTGACGTCGCTTTCGCATGCAGGCATCAAGTACAGTATTCGGGGAAACAGCCATCTACGTCGCACCAAAGTCACTGGAGTGCAAACAAAGAAGGCTTATTCGCTACCCGAGTATCGTGCCCCAGACCATCCCTCCTCCATTCCCCATAGCGGAGACGTCAATCCTCCAATGTGCGCTTTTTCTCCGCTCACATGAGCCGCACGTTCACCGCCCTGGTCCAGCCAGTACCCGTCGACAAAGCTGGGGTGGCTGCATCTGGAGATACCACCGATGTACGTGAATCGTCGGCGGACAGCCAAGGCGATTGCCTCCGCGGTACAACTTCGGATCGGAGCTACATGTGGGTCTGTTTTTGGGGTCGTTGCGAGCAAGGTGCAAGATGGTGGTGTGATGGATTGATTACTGATATCTTTTGGTTTCTGTGGTTTTGGAGCCGGGGACAAGCTTCTTTCCATGAAATTAGTGTAATTGGAGTTCGGAGTTGTCGCGTGAGGGCGTGCTGGCTGAGGAAGAGAGAGAAGCATGGAGATATGGATGCTGGTTTCGGAGATAGCAACACGTGGAAGCTCTTTACTCCGTTTTACGCCTAGCTGATTATCGTTAAAGACTTCGGGACGAAGTCCATGATGGAGCAGGATGTTACGCGCGTAAGGACGTCGCATGAAGACGTGCTGACCAAGGCAGAGACACAACATGGAGACGCTGATTGTTGCTCTTGAGTACAGCAACACATCAAGAATTCGGTCTTTCATCTGGATCCTTGGAAGTGCTTCTCGTTGCTCTATTGTCAGGAACAAATCTTTTGGTGAGATAAGCGGTGTTTGGTATGCAGAAGAGAAAGAGCATGGCGGGTTTTGCGCTTGAATTCGATAATGGAAGCTCATGATGATGTTTCGAGCTTGCTTTGCTTGCTCGGACACGAGAATGCTGTTGATATACCGGAGATCTGGATTTCTGGACTCTAAGGACACGCCATAAAGTCTTCGTCTATTTTGTTTTCTTGAAATGACGCGATAGAAAAGGAAGAATATTGTAGCACCAACTTCGCTCTCCGTCTTTCCGGATATAACAAGTGCCTGCAGTGTACTTCGGTAGCTGGAAAAGGTTGACGCGGATTATCGTTGATTCATTGGTCCGCTTAGATAGAGGGGTTGTGTAGCTGAAGTTTTGGAGACTGGAAGTCCTAGCGTATGAGTCGTACAGGTGTTTTGCAAAGGAGCACAACTCAGGACATAACATTCCACTTGGAGCTTTTTGGAGAACAAACATGAGGAATGCTCAGGAAGAAGTGAAGCTTCGTGATGGTAAAAGTGCTTTTATATCTTCTCCCCGACTGATACCAAAGAGTTCAATTCCATTTTGACATGCCCAAACGTATCTGACGAGGTGGCAGCGAACTTCAATAGCATGCTGGCCTACTGATCGATCATATCCCTGGAGAGGCTCATGAAGTAGGGCTCGCTATGTTTTGGTACATAAGATTCATCAGGATCGCTTTTGAAGAACAGCGGGCAGACCCAGAACATGAACATGGCGGCCCGACGTTTCGAAGAATATATTGAAGAATGTTTGTGACAAGAGCATTACTTAGTGGAGAGCGGACGGCCTTTTATAGCAATCTTGGAACTGCTGACCAAGACTACACAGTTCACTTTCTGAATTGCAGCTTCGAGGTATAGGTGCAGTAGATGAGAACCAAAAAGCCGAAGATCTTGGCAGCATGGTCTTACTCATCACATCTTCCCAGGTCTAAGTCAAGCCACACCCATGGTATGCAAAAATAAAGTTTTGGGTAACTCATACCACGCACATATCGTAAAGAACGTCGTGAATGAAGACAGAGAATCCAGCGAAATATACATGTCTCTCAGAGTGTTCTAGACCTGCACCATCGCGACCGAAGACATTGTGTGATTGAACTTGCGTTTGCGTGTTCTCTCAAATTTAGAGGGCGTCAGGAGTTGAAAATGATAAAGTGAGAAAAGCCTGAGAGTCTAGGATTGCCAAAGCCAGACATCTCATTTTGGTTCAGATCTTGAGCGGGCCGCAAACATTGCGGAGCGGTGATTGGTTTTTGGTATCTTCTCAAGTGGAAAGAAGTGTAGAGAGTAGAGAGTCGGTGAACGGAAGACTGCCACGGCGTGTGGCAGCAAACAACTGAATTTCTTTTCTTCAAACTCAGCCCCACCACAAACGTGAGCAGACAATGATCAGGTCCTGGTACCTCGCGAGTTGACATGGGTATCAGAGGATGAGGATGAGTGAACCAGAGAAGATTGATTTTTCAGTTGGAAAACGATTTTCCAAGGTATGTCGAAAGTCTTCCAGGGTATTTGGATCTGAGCGGCTATTTGAATGAGGTCTCTTGGCAGGTGTCTTCAAATGTGTCTGAATAGAGTTGTCGAAGGCCATTGGTCATCCTCTCCCATGTACTATAACCAGAAGAACTTTTGTAAAGAAAATCGGCAGTAAGAAGCAAACATCTAAAAATGGTACAAGGGGTTGATTCCATAAGGCCAGGTTTGAGCGATTTCACGAGGGCTGATGTGAGTTGGTCGGGATAGCAAACAGAATATGTCTGGATACCACCAGTGATCATTTTAAAGAAAAAAAAGGGACAGTGGTCATAGATGCAGTCCCACTCCTTTTAGAAAGCACTCAAAGAGTGGGTGTAAAGAAGGAAGGAAGCATGTAGCGACAACGTAGGACTTTTATACATGTCCTCTCAGTACGTGGCTATCAGTCGCTCCTTGTTTGTTTGTTTGCCGGCGGCATTCTCTTGCGCAGAAACATATCGACTGGTGGGAATGTTTTTGAGACGTGCAAAGCCAGCCATGGGTCGTCTGGCTTTATCTTTTGGGTATAAGAATCTCGAAGGAGTACGAGTCATAAGTTGAATTGAGGAAGATTGCTGGAGGACACACAATGATGGATGCTTGAGTTTTGAGTAGCCACCGGAAAGAAGAACGGGAGACATAACACGGACAGTAAATGTTTTGGAAAGAAGGCTCGAGGAAGAAACAGCATATTGTGCGACGACCTGTTTTGATCTCTTGAGTGGTCGGCAAGAGAAGAGCAGAAAACATGTTGTTGGAGTTGGACATTTCGGAAAAGAAGCTTCGAGGGACGAGTCATGGCGGTACTGCTTAGTATTTTTGATGTTTGGAGAACAGGAGTAGTGGTAGAGGACAGAAAAAGTAGTGGAGCTTCGCGGAATTTATATACACTGCCACCGAACATGAGATGGCGAAATCCGCCGTGTGAGTCACGAGTGACACACATCAAGTCTTTGTTCCGTATTGTACATGGCGACCTATCTACAGCCATTCTAGTGAACCATAGTCTCTAGTGTGCCGACAGGCCTCTCCACAATATCGATACATCCATCCACGATGCTCTGCCTTGCTGGCTCGCTGCTAACATTCTGGCCACCCAGATACAATAGCCAGACCAGCCTGCCAACCCTCTCATCTCTGACCTCGCCCAACCAACTGCTCTTGCCCATGACCTCCTGCTTGCTATTCGCTGCCTTCACAATAGGCTGATACAGCGCACCTAGATGCCCGCTCTTATTCCGTGTCAGGATAATGACACTACCCTTGGGCGCTTTGCCCTTGCCCTGGAAGAGGTTCCTGAACTCCTTCATCGCCAGGCCAAAAGACTCATCCTGGAACTCGCCCTCCTCAACCGGCTTAGGCAAGGAAATGGATTTGTTCTCGGCAGCCTGCTGTCTGATCAACTCAGCCTGTTTCCTCCTCACCTCATCCGTGCGCGACGCAATTCCGCGCATCCACCCATCTTGCAGATGCTTGAAGTCTGTGCCGCGGCAGGGTACAACACGGAATGCCATGTCTACACCATCCATGCCGTTCTTGGCCAAGATGGACTCCCAGATCTTGTTGCTCTTTTCGGGGTCGAGCAGGGACTCGCGGAGGTCCTTTTTCTCATTAGGGATCAGGGCAGAGGCGGTAGGGTTTACGGTGTTGATGAGGTGGTTTTGGAGGGTAGAGAGGTCGGCGGTTTTAACGTAGAGGCCCACAACGTAGACTTGGACGCGGAGGAAGGAGACTTTCCGGATGCCGAGACCGAGGAGTGTGTATTCGGCGTCGGTGGTGATGGCTTCAGGACCTGAGGCGTCGGTGGGGAGACGGATGGTGCGTGGGAAGTAGGGGACGTAGGATGTGCCTGTTTCGACGAGCTCGATGGCGTCGGGATCTGAGGCTTGCGGGTTGTCGGTGCCGCCTGGTGTTGCGATGACTTTGTCGCCTGCCGCGATGACCACCTTCTTTCCTTGGAAGTCTTCTGCCGCCTTGCGCGGTGCGTCGTTCTGGATGGGTGGGCCCATGATGCTCTCTACGATGCCCCGGCGTGGCTCCTCACCTTTCTCTTCTAGCGGCGGTACGTCCCATAACCTGACGAGGAACATGGGTGCAATCATGGACAGTGCAGCACCCAGAGCGAGCCAGTTCCGCTTTTTTATCAATTGAGCACGACGTATCGCCTCTGCGCGATGTACCGAGACGAAGTCCTCATCTGGGCGAGGAACCTTGGGGCGGGCGCCTTGCTTGAGTATGGCCTCGACATCTGCCCTGCTGGAGCGCGTGTTTTGGCGGAATTGGGGGTTGGAGCGGAAGGGCGCAGGCGTGTTGAGGCAGCGGAATACTGGCCGCCGAGCGGCGTGTCTTATCGAGTTCATGGTGGCTGCATTGACCGAGTGATGTGGTGAGACAGAGTGGAGCAGCTTGGACCAGGCCTCGATGATGTCGTCGCCGGTCTGAAGCGAGCACTTTAGCGCGGCTTTCACTGCGGCGCGTCGCGTCGGCCCTACAGAGTAAATCTACAGCCCACCTTGCAAATAGGTCAACGCTCGACACCCCGCCTTTGCAGCTTCTAGATGACACAACATGCCTCCACATAGATCAAGAAGAGCGGAAGAAGCGACACCGACCCCCACACAAACCCAACGGCGCAGACGAGATGATCCACCCGAAGAAGACGAGCATGTCGACATGGACGAGGCAATGAACCAGGGCAGCGGCAGCGTTGACCAGCTGGCAAAAGGCTTGGTGCGATATGCCCTGTCGTGCGAACGTTCACGGAAGCCTATCAAGCGCCAAGATATCAATGTAGCGGGTGGGTGCACTGGAAACCACATATGACACGGGACTAATAGTGGCAGTACTCGGGTCAACATACACTCGACTGTTCAAGGATGTCTTCGCACAAGCAAACAGTCAGCTCATGGACGTCTTCGGCATGCAGTTGGTCGAACTGCCCAGAGCGGAGAAGGTGACACTGCGACAGAAGCGCGGTATGCAACTCATCACTACTGTGCTGTCTCTGACCTGACTTCTCTCAGCTGCCGCTGCCTCGGATTCCCAAAGCAAAAACACGAGTATTTGGGTTCTGCAAACTATCCTGCCCGACCAATACCGTATACCCGACATCATCGGCCCTTCGCGGCCAATCGAAGAAGACATAAATCGAGAAGACTCGTATGTGGGACTGTATACCATGGTCATCGCCCTTATCACAATCCACGGCGGTCTAATCCCAGAGGGCAAGCTGGATCGCGCCCTCAGACGTATGAACGCAGATCAGACGACGCCCATGGGGACCAAGGACAAGACGCTCGCCAACATGATCAAGGATGGGTATATTGTAAAGGTCAAAGACACCCAGAACGGGGGCGAAGAGACGATAGACTATATCGTTGGGCCCCGAGGCAAGATGGAAGTCGGGCGGGATGGTGTCGCGCAGCTTATACGGAAAATATTTGGAAACAGCGAGGATGGGGACGAGCTGGATAAGAAGATTGAGAGGACGCTGCAGGTGGCGGGTGCGAATGACGATGCTGCGCCGTCGGTTGAAGCGGCCAACGTTGCATCGCAGGCGAACGGACGGAAACGTGGGCGGCCGAGAGGCGAAGGCGACGAGTAGGCTGGAGTCGAGCAGTCTGTTGGCGTTATGGACAAGGAGACGACCTAAGATACCCTGTATAGTTGTACTGCATTATTCTTTGCCTTGAAACTCTGGCCATGCTAGTCGTGTTAGTGATGGTTGGTAGCTCCAAGCTCCCCTCGGAAGGATTCGAGGTTGCATCATCGGCCCAGCAAGCGCCAGAAATTGCCAACAACAAAGACACGACACCAAAGGAAGGAGAGGCTGTTGGTGCAGTGCATGTGCTTGGATGGGTAGTTCCTTCCCCATTCGTCAGCGTCACGAGGTATTGGGCAAGCGCGACCCGGTGTTGAGCAATGGCTGCATGCAATCAAGGCTCACTGGAGCTTCGCTGCCGCCCCTCAAGCGCTTCTGCGCGCCAAGCTGATTGAAACGGCTCTATTTTCCACACCAACCGCCTTTGCGCCATCTTTCTCCTCATTCTCTCCTTCTCTCGCTCTTTGCCCTCGCCGTACGCATCCCCGCCTCCAGCGCCATACTCCAAATCTGCAATGACTGCTTGAGACAATGAGCAGCATCGACTCCCTCCTCAACCCCGACGCTGGCCTCCGCCGCCCGTCTGTCACCAGCCCGACCGCGACACCTGCCGACGACGCTGCCGATGCCCTGACGACACTGGCAACTTTGGGCAGCGGGCAGCAGTTCGTGCCCGCTCCGACGCGCGAGCTGCCCTCGCCAACTGCCTCATCTCACGCGCCGCGACGCACCAGCAGCTTCGGTACCCACCACGCGCCTGTAGAGCCCTCGCCACCCCTCGAACTACCCCAGGCCCGCTCGCCGACCCTGGAGCACTATCACCATGGGTCGAATTCGCCAGAAGAGCAAAAGCGACGGCAATCGCTGCTGTCGAGAACATCGCCCGCCCCAGTGCTCGCGCCTATACAAAATTTGTCCACAGCCCTGCAAGAACAGACTCAAGACGAGAAGGCGTCAACATCCATCGGCGAAGATGTGTCGCAAATTGTACCATCGGATCATGGTGGTGAAAGAGACAGCACCCAGCACCGCGAGCCTGCATTCGTGCGCGACGAACCAACAACTTCACAGATCCGCGAGCCTGAAGCGACCAATGGCACACTACAGCCGGGTTCGAGTTCGCATAACGGCGACAAGCTGCCTTCACCGCAGCCTTTCATCAAAGACGAACCCTCTGGCACACCGCGCGAACACACACCTGCAGTCACTGCTTCTCAATCCGAGCGACGAGGTTCTGTTACTGGCGAGAACATGGATGCCGATGCGCTCAAGGCGCTTGAGATTGCCAAGCAGAGCGACCTTGGACTACGGAGACGGAACCAGAGCGTTGCAGAGCGGTCAGAACGCGTACAATCACCCGTGGACTCGAAACCAGCATCTGCCCCGACCAAAAAACGACCAGCGCCAGCACCAGCCCCTGCTATTAAAAAGAAGGGTACAGCAAAGACGTCAAAGCCCAGCAAGAAGCGCAAGGTGGAGACGGAAGATGGCGCAACACGGTCAGTGACGCCTACCTCGAGGATACCAAAGTCGGCCAGCAGCAGGGTTATGAAGAAAGGCTCGCATGCAGGCACACCCGCTCCTGGATCCTCACCCGCACCAGACCGATCTGACGATGAAGGCGATTCATCTGAAGATCACAACCTGTACTGCATCTGTAAAAAACCGGACAATCACAAGTGGATGATTGGGTGCGATGGCGGTTGCGACGACTGGTTCCATGGCGACTGCGTAAACATGAAACAAGCGGATGAGCAACTAGTCGACAAGTTTATATGTCCTCAGTGCGAGGAGAATGGCAAGGGCAACACAACATGGAAGCCAATGTGCAGGCGGGAAGGCTGTCGAAAGCCTGCCAGGGTAGGGAAGGACCGAGAAAGCAAGTACTGCTCTGACGATTGCGGAGTCCTCTTTATGCAAGAACAGCTTCAACGAACAGCAGGAGCAAAAGGCGCCAATGGAACAAAGGAAAAATCTAAGAAGAAGAAGAGAGTCGAGGAAGAAGAAGAACCAACCCCTCTTGGCGGCACCCTCCGAGCCAAAGACCTCAAAGCCCTTGTTGACGCCTCGCCAAACATCCAAGCTTTCAAGAACCTAGGCACCGGCGTTCTCACACCTCCACAAACCGCTTCGCCATCCCGCGCAACCTTCCCCGCCAACGGCGAAGACCTTTCCCTTACCGCTGGCGAGATCGAACGTTTGACCGCCCTTCACAAAGAGAAGACGCAACTCAAAGATCGTTTAGAGGTACTCAAAGACCGCGAGAAGTTTGTTAGCATGGCCAAGGAACAAGCTGTTCGCCTCGCCGACCGCGAGAAGATCAAGATGAAGGATTTCTGTGGTTACGACAGCAGATTATCATGGTCGGATGCTGAGTTCCTACTTTGGCGGAATAGCAAACACGGCCGCGCTGCGTTCCACCACTCCACCCTGATTCCCACCCCAGAACAGATTTCTTCGACGCCGACGCCTGCGGATGGCGCGGATGCAATGGACATTGATGGTGGCGTAGATGGAGAGGAGAAAGAAACAGCCTGTTTGAAGAAGCGCTGCCAGAAGCATCCTCAGTGGCAGAAGCTTAACCTGCAAGATGCCAGATTTGAGGAATTGGAAGTTGTTGAGGCGATCAAGGAGTGTGAGAAAGATGAGCGATCCGTACGGGATCGTGCGAGAAGAAGAGGCGCAAAGGATGGATTGGCGAAAGAACTCACTGGCGGCGAGGACGGGACCAAGGTGGAGAGGAATAGGGATGGATGGGTTGAGGTTGTTGGCTCGTGACTGACATGACCTCGATCGATTGTTCTTGTCAATGGATGGACGATATTGGAACGGAATGAAAAGCTTGGATAAGGCATATACCCCCATTCCTTTCGATGCGGTATCTGAATATTTGGGCGTTTGTTTGGAGGTTATGGGAAAAATTTAGCGACAACGCTTTGGGCGACTCATGGTTCTTCGCGACTCACAAACTTGGCTATACCATTCATATCGGATAGCGATTTCTCATAGCTAGTGTTAGTATGGTTTAATGACTAGGCTTATTCTTCAGACTGGGTTTTCTGATGACGACAATCTTGTGTCACCTCGGAGAGGCTACAACGTATTTTCGGGATTCGGAAGCCGCCAAATAGGGTGAGGTGGCATTGGGCGTATTGCCGTATCGCCGTATCGCTGTGTCGATCAGGTATAAAATCCTCCTCTGCTTTCTTCTTTCCCTTCCTTCTATCATACACTCATAATTCTGTCTTTCCCAAAATACATGTCTGAAACACTGATGGTGTTCTCCAAAATCAGGGCATGATCAACCAATGACCTTCCCTGGCCTTCTTTCTGGCTGCTCAAAACAAACTTGGAGCATGTCATGTGTGGCGGCAGATCGCTATTCGGAATGCAATAAAACCAATACTTGCTACGATCATCGTCTAAGCAAATCTTCTCTCTCCAGCAATCATATATAAACACTGTCTGGTCCGTCAACTACCGCTTTTCTTCCCTATGTCTGGGAATCTGTTTCCCCAAATCGCGGACAAAAAACACATGGAGTTTTCGGAATGACAACCCAAACAAGACACGATCTTTGCTGCCTTGTTTTTCGTCCAAAAGACAGAGAACTATACTATATGTGCGCGTGTAGTACAACGGTGTTCCTCCTTCTTCTTACTGGATACGATGATTACGCTACTCATTATGTTGCTATCGACATGATCATTGGTATACTACAACCGACCAAAGCGAGAGACAATAGTTTCAGCTCAGAGAAAACACCAGGGGGTTTGGTGTCTGCCTCCTGAAAGACGAAAAAGAAGACAACATGATAGAGAAAGCAGAGGAGAGCGAATATAAAGTGTTATCATAAAGAAACGGTGCTCCGAAAGGGAGATGTGCTGGTTGAGAAGTTATGGATATAAGAACGATCTTTCACTAACCAAGCTGCAAGCCTCTATCAACCTCTGACTCTTCGTTATTCCCAAAACAAAAACAAACTACAGAGTGGACATGGAGGTCAAAAACCAGTTTGAGCTTTCCAATGGATTGAGACTTCCCGTCTTCCTCTCATCTACACAGCACTAGTTGTCTACGAACACCGGATTTTTACTTTCGATTATGCAGTGAAACTGCGTAGTTTCCGACGCTTCGCAATTGCATATACCGTTTGCCTACTGGACGTTTACTGCTACACCAATGTTCTTGCTCAAGTCTTTCCAAAAGTCCTCGGTTGCGTTTTATGTGGACTGGGAGAAATAGTCGCCCAGACCTACGTGGTGAATCTGGCTGTTTGCTTTCTGCAAGTATACATGATCACCCTCCGACAACCAAACTGTTACTCTAATACCAACTTCCAAGTTTCTTCTTGGTTAAAAAAAAAGGATGGGAAGATTACATGATGGAGGTTCAAAACACAAGATTCCAGGTTCATGTTGCGAGACAATCTGTCCTGTTTCCATAGCTAAAAGCGCTATGCTCGCCAGTCATACTTGGGCTCCCTATACCTGTCTTTAAACTTCCAGCCTACGACCCAAAGCGTCTAATGCATGGGAATTCAAAGTAGGGATGGGTTGATGACATACTGGACGGCATTTCTCTGCTTGCATATATGTCATGCTCAATTTTTTGGACTTTACCAACGAGACATATCCTGTGCCAATCTGCTCCCTTCTGGTTGGACACAAGTCTCTGTCTGACAGCCGAGCTATCTTTGTCTCATCAAGAATCATGACCCGAAACTCTCCAGAAACTTTTCTCACTTTGTTCGATGGAAGTCAAAGAAGTCGATAGCGACTGAGGTAGATTGTATTAACTGGTTTGCTCATGTGAAAACAAAATGGCTGGTAGAAGGACTATGTGTAAGAAGACATTTGGAATTATGACTTTCGATTGAAAGCCCACAACCAGGTATGTGTATCGAGTTCCTGGTCTGTTTAGACAGGTACACTAGGAATACGGTATAAAAACCATTTTCTGGTGCCCAAAATCATTACTTCTACACCAATCTCCACATCCTATTATTCCAAAATAAAGAAGATGAATCTTAATGGCAATGCTGTGCGTCTGTCTGTGTCTATATCATTGATAGTGATATGGCATGTGGATTCGAAATGAGATCTGGAATTGTAATACTTGAAGAAAAGAATGGGTACAAAAAGCACCAATTGCGGTAGTCATGGTCTTCATTGTTGTCGTCAGCAAGTTGGAGGGGAAGACATGTTAGAAACAAAATTAAGATACTGGATTAGGAGCGAATGCCTCCAAGGGTATTGTGATACCGATCTTAATGGAAGGTTGAACAAGAACACGTTGCCTATTCATGTCTGTTCGTAGCCCATGATCGAGCTCTGATCCAATTTGGAGTCTCGAACACTAAGCCAGAGTTGCACACATAATGTCATATTTAGAAACCTTTTGTTCTGTCTCTTATTCTTATGAAACCTCCTTTTATGTACGAAACGAGACACGAAGCGCCCACGAAGTACTAGAAAGCTCTGGGTTTACGTTTGACGCCTGGAACGAATATGTGAAAGTGCTTCCAGCCCATACCTCTGTCTGAGCTTCCTTCGTCCTGATTAACAAAATTACATGTTGGTGGCTAGCATGGTTATAACACCTTTTGAGTACTCGGCTAAGACCCATACCTAAGCTACAATTGACTCTGAATGTTCTCTCTTCAAAATTATCTTGCGCATATGAAGCATTCTTTCGTAGACTTCTAGGTTCTGACCTTCTATACCTGCAAAAGAATGTCATTACGATTAAAACATCCTGCAAGCACAGCTGCAGAAGAAGGGAAGAGTCTAGAAAGAAGATGTGCCTCCGGTTTTGTAGTGACTCAAAGGCCGTGAATCCTTCCGCGGGCATAACAATCGGCGAGTTATTCCCAAAAGGTGGCGTAGGGACTTCCTGGAGCTGGAAATGAAGAGGAAGAAGAGTGGAGTTAGCGTCACACGTGGCCACGTTTTGAAGGCGCCTGTGACACTCGGTCTAGCGCAAAAGACGTCACATTAGGTTATGTCACTTCTCAGTCGCTTGCATATCCGCCTTTTAGACTTTGACCTAAAATGCGACATCATCATGTTCTCTGATCAAGGCACATCGAAGTCGCGACCTAGACTGCGGCCTGATTACTCTGGGAATAAGCTGTTGAGCTAACTACTAGTCAAAGCGCATACAGCGTGTCGACTTCCCAAGACGTTTATAAAGTTTGAACTCGGACGACCCCCTGCCGACCCCCCAGTCAAGATGCCAGACTGATGTCTAGGCTCGACGATGCTTAGCCTACCAAGCGCCACACTAAACCGTTCCTCGGATCAGCGGGACCCGCAATGATCAACGCCACCATACTGTGTAGAGCAAGATCGACCAAGGTTGCCCGCCGTCTCCTGCATATTGTCTCTCCGCTTCCGCTACTTGCACCCTTAATGCATCTTGAACTCCTTCTCGAACCTGTCTGATGTCGTAACAGCATGTTCCGCGCTGCAAGGAGTTAGCACTTGCTTTTTTTCGATAATCTCCGACCTCACATCTTAGATATCTACGCATCTACCATCCATATCAGGTACCTCCACCGATGCCGAATACCCTTGTTCATTTGCCGTGCTTGAGAGCCGAGGCTCAATGCCGATCGACGACAAGGAGCAACAATTGGCGTCCTCAATCTGGCCATTCCGGCATGCTGTCGAACCGCAACGAGCAGGCAAGTATTCCGAACAGGGTAAAACAGAATGATGCGGACGAGGTTGCCGAGTCGTCAAGACATTGGCCCGCCGGGTGAGGCGCACCAAACATCTGCACCATTGTAGTCACCATCCAGAGCACGATCAGTTCGGCGTGTCTTGCTATTGGAGGTGTGAGGCTACGCCCCCACTTCATGGCTGTTTCGAGTAAAAGCCTGGGATGGAATGTTCCCAGTCGCGTTCAAGCAAGCCATGAGTATGACGATGTTTCGCAAGTTCTCGCCGCCACACCAACATCGGTATCCTGGAATCGTCGTACGATGCAAATAACCTCGACGTCATGCCGTTGAAGATACAGCAAGCTCCAGTCAAACCACCTATACCTTCTTTTCGGTTTTTGGTCTCCAAACTGAAGGGAACCAAACGTCTATGCGGGTAAGACGGTGACAGTCGATTGGGCGTGGCGTCGATCAAGAGACTACGGGACAGATGCCTACGACCATCTCTAGTGCTCCGAGCGCATGTATGTTCTACCCCTTCAGGTATAGAGAGATACCTGGGGATCGGCCAGTGAAACGCGCTAAGGATCTCTGCCGAGGTGACATGGCATATCGACAGTGCTTTTTCCTTACCCACACGGCATGGTAACAGATGTGAACTGGATATATAAGGGAGTCTGGATCCTCGTTGATATGATCACCACCTTGACAATACGGTAACTCAATACAGTCGCTCTACTTCTACTTCTACATACATCTTCTTACTACCTTCAACATGCGTTTCTCAGCCATCGTTCCCGCCACTCTTTTCGCCTTGGCTTCCGCCGCTCCAGTAGAGGAAGTCAAGCGTGCCGCCTCTTCTTCTTGCCCCTCATACACCATCATCAACACCCGCGGTACTGGTGAACTCCAAGGCGAATCTGCTGGGTTCCGTACAATCAACTCCCGCGTCCGCGCTGCTGTCTCCGGCGGCAAGACCTACAACACTGTTTACACTGCCGACTTCTCCCAGAACAGTGCCGCGGGTACACGAGACATTATCAACAAGATCACTACTACACTGAGCACTTCACCAAATGAATGCTTCATCCTTGAGGGCTACTCTCAGGGTGCTCAGGCCACCGTCAACGCCATGTCTCAGTTGACGGGCGCCAAGTTCGATGCTGTAAAGGGTGTCTTCCTCATCGGTGACCCAGCACACAAGTCTGGATTGGCGTGCAACGTGGACAACAACGGTGGCACCACGACCAAGAACGTCAATGGACTTTCCGCAGCACTTGGAGGAGGCATCCCATCCAACTGGGTTGCCAAGACGCTCGATGTTTGCATCTTCGTATGTATCCTGTTGTTCATGTCATGTTACAAGATTACTAACGCATTTGTCAGGGTGACGGTGTATGCGACACTACACACGGTGCGGGTATCAATGCTCAGCATCTTCAGTACCCCAACGATGCCCCTACCCAGAAACTGGGCACTGACTACATTACCAAGGCCCTTGGTGCTTAGGGTGGATGTATTGGAATGAGATGAGTGTGCGTTACATTTCGGTTATTGTTCCGTGTATGGGCTTACGGACACTCTTTCTACATGTATATATTTATTCGAATGACATAAGGTGCAAATGCTCATCTACTGAGAAACAAACGCTGGAACCTACGTGTGTGGCTAACTTGGGGTATGAATGTCACGGATACTCGCCACTGCTGTCCGCATTCTCAGTCCCCCAAGTCTGAATCTATCGGAAGCTGACGTACGCGTGTCATTAGACCATTCACAGTCGTCATAGTCATCCTCTACAGGCCCTGCTCTTCATTAAGTTTGATACCCCTCTCGACCAATCCCTCAATCCATACGTTAAAGTCTTCCCTCATCTCCGCCGGCAACACATGCCCCTGCCCCTTGATGAAATGCTTCTCAACCTCACCTTCCTGCCAGATATCCTCCTCTTCCTCGATACCCAACCAGTTCTCCTTTCCGGTCGGGCCCTCCCCCCTCTCTAATCCTCTCCAAAGCACAACACCCAATGGGAAAGTCAACATGCGATCCTGGGTGCCATGGATAACCATGATCCTGTTCTTGCCTACAGTCTTTGCAATCTGCTGCAGTTGCTCCGGGCTCTTGTGGTGCCACCCCGCGGCGATAGCTTGCAGCATGAATCCAGCCTTACCAAAGTACTCGGGATGTGATCGTTTCCAGATTTCGTTTGCAGCAAAACGGTCACCGTTTGTAGGAAAGGCTTGGACGACAGGTTCGAGAGTGTCGGGCGCGTCGAGCCATTGCTGTGTGTAGAGGTTCTTCTTTACGCCTTCGATTTGGGCATCGAGAGATTTGGGGATGAAGAGATTGGCTCGGTTCCAGAGGTTTTCGATGAAGCCCTGCGAGGGTTAGCTAATCTGCGAAAGTTTGCTAGGGTTGGGGCGTACATTTGTTCTGAATAATTGTGCAGCTGTGGATACGAGCGAGAGTGTGCAAATCCGTTGTGGTATCAACATGGCCTAGACTATTATTAGCGCTTAGAGGTTCTACAAATTTCTAGCTGATCGGAATGGGATTTTTTGCTGCAATCATCATGATCGGCATGCATAGACGATCATATGTGCGGCATTGACGAACAGGTGGGGGCGGGGTAAAGTTGAGCGGGGCGGAAGCTCAATGTACCGTTGAGATTACAGGATGATGCTGGGTATGAGAAATGTTTGAAGCTCTAGTCGACAACACTTGAGAGAATTTGTGTTCAAAGACGGAAGGTATAGCATCCGATCCGAAGACGACTACTCCACCAGTACAATTTGTGTGGATGACGATGGAGAGATGAATGGACTCACTATTTCCTGGGCAATCATGCCACCCATGCTTATACCAATCACGTGTAGTTCACGGTCACCGGTCCAGCCGACATGATCGAGGACTTCGACAATGTCTTGGGCCATGGCAGATGTAGAGTATCTTGATGTGGGCTTGTCGGAGTCACCAATACCCCGGTTGTCAGTTACTAACGACGAGTATTGGTCGCCTTTGGTGTGGCCAAAGTCTTTTGTCTGACGCTGCCATGCGTATTTCATGCCACCAAGGCCCATGACCCACTACATAGTGTCAGTTATTGACTCTTGTTGTAACAAGGCACAAGCGCCACGTTGACGTGAATGTAGAGACGGAAGATGCCGAGAACGGTTAAGGGCTGAATGCAGAAAAGTACGTATTCGTTGCGTACTCGGCAACTTGAGACACGATACATCGTAGTTGAGACGATCAATGCAACTGAAACGAAACAGTGACAGGGTGCCGCTACCTGACGATTGGTAGAAGACAACATTACAAATGCATCCTAGTCAAAGACAAGCTTTTCTTTGGTGCCTGATATGCAGCGCATCAAGTTGGAGAAGATATTAATACCGATAGTGGGGCGACTTACCACGAGGTGTCTGTCGCCATGACCATGGATCTCGTAAGCGATGTTAAGGGGACCGCCTCTGTCCTTGGCTACAACGGCTTTGCCTTTCTTTTCTGGTTTTAGGTCCCAGATAGTATGGGGGTATTCTGGGTGATTTGAAAGTTCCTCAGCAGTCATTGGTGCCATGGCTGATGGTGAGTCTGTGTTTTTTTTTTTTGCAGGTCTCAAAGATTCTCAAACTAGAACGAGTCAGTACTGAGCATGTAACCGCCCGGTAGTAATGTCAGGAGGGGTGAAGATGCGACGATGCAACGGGTGTGGTGGCGCAGCACGAGGGTAGGCAACGTTGACGGCTTCCTCGATGTGGCTACCGCTCGGCACGTGTCTTTTGGTAGCGGTGTGCCCATAGCGCATCCCGGCACAACCGACAGGTACGCGACCGTTGTGTAAGCTGGAGGGTTGGGGAAAAGCATGTAAGGAATGCTGACGTACTATTCTTGGAGGAGGCGCTTACGGCGTAGCGCGTGAGTTGTCAAAGAGATGTAGAAGTGAAGAGTCAAGGCTAAGAGTGTGCATCTGTGCTTTGAAAGTTGGCGCTGGCGACCGCGTGGGACAGAAGCAATATCACAACGTCATCTCTGCTATTCCGCTTTCAGCCTCAGGTGCGTGGCTCGTGTCTGACTAAGGCTGGACGCGCGAACTACGGACGACGCGGCGTTGCAGTCTGACAGCACTATATTGTAGTAGACGCGGAGAAGGAAAGTTGCCTGGGCGTGTCTTTTTTCCCTGTCAACGCTGTGCCCAGACAAGTAACCGTCGTCACGACAAGACGACGCCACACGACGCTCCCGCTTTGGGCTGGTCTTGGTCGTCTGCAACAAGCTTCTGCCTCATCGATAGTCGGCGAGTCTGCGACAGCCATCCTCAGGGCCCTGTAGATGTGACCCTCGGCAGCGTTTCATCTCCCTGAGCACTAGACGCTCCGCCAGACCCCTCCGCACAGCCCGAACCATAGCCGCCCTCACAAAACAACGCGAACCCCCGGATATCCGCCAGGGCCCAATTGCCCTAGGACTTTGACGACTGACGACCTCGCGAGAGCGACACCTAATACGCCATGAATCCCGCCAACAACGGCTTCTACGGGGCCGGCCCGCCCATGATGAACCCTCCACCACCGCGTCTGTTCGGAAGCGGCAGCTACGACCCGTCGCAGATGCCCCCGGGCAACATGTTCGCCCACGACGACATGCACGACGACAACGATGGCAGCGACCCCAAGCGGCGGCGCATTGCAAGGGTACACACTGCGGGCGGCGAGTAGCATAGTGCCATGCTGACAGATGCAGGCTTGCGACATGTGCCGGAAGAAGAAGATCAAGTGCGACGGCAAGATGCCGTCGTGCACACACTGCCAGAACTACAAGACGGAATGCATCTTCACACAGGTCGAGAAGAAGAGGCAACCGCCCAAGGGGTAGGAATCACCATCACCATGACCACGCGCACATGAAGCTGACCATGCATAGCGCCAAGTACATCGAAGGTCTCGAGAACCGACTTGCGCGCATGGAGTCCCTGATGCGCCTCTCCGGCGTCCTCCCCGAAGACGACGACGGCAGCACCGATCTGGCCACACTGGAGAGACGACTCGAAGCAAGAGCTGGGCGATCGGCCACACCCAGGGCCAGCATCGGTGAAAGGCGAGAATCAATGGCACCCCCGACCGGCCAATCCACTGCCAACGGCACACCAGCACAACCAGCTCTCCCCAGCCCGAGGAGCGGTACCGCCTCACCAGAGCCAGAGGAGCACACCCAAAACCCAAAAGACAAGGAAGAGGATGCGCTCGCCGAGATGATGTGCTCGTTGGTGACAAACAACTGCGGAGAGACCAGATATATCGGTACGCTTCCCGTACTTGTTGTTTCTATGCGCTAACCTTTTCAGGCTCATCGTCAGGTTTCTCCATCTTCTCGCCCAAGGGTATACAATGGGTGAATGAAAAGACTGGGGACAACTCTTTCCGCGACATGATCTCTACAGCCGCCGTCGAGGACAACAAGTGGATCCAATGGCGACCCGACGTGTTCCAGGACATCTTCAAGCGTAGAGTCTACAAACAATTGCCGCCCAAGCACGAGGCCCTGTCACTACTCAAGGACTACTTCGAAAACTTCAACTGCATGTTTCCGCTGTTCCACGAACCAACTTTCATGCATCTCGTAGACAAGCACTACTCGAAAGACCCCTATGAAGGATCCGGGTGGTGGGCCAGCTTGAACGTCGCCCTGGCTTTCGCACACCGACTGCGCGTCATGAGCAACCTGGTTCCAGCAGAAGAAGACGAAAAGGCGTGGCAATACCTGAAGAATGCCATGAGTGTCATGGTAGAGCTTACCATGCGCAATACAGATCTCCTTAGCGTTCAGGCTTTGCTAGGAATAGTGCGTATCAGAGACGAGAGGTTCGCCTTGCCCCAACTAACATCTTCCAGGGTCTGTTCCTTCTAGGAACGCCGAACCCACAACCTACCTATTTCTTCGTTGCCACAGCCATGCGGCTTGCACACAGCATTGGTCTCCATAAGAAAGGTGCCAACTTTAGCCTCAACTCCGCCGAGGTCGAGCAACGAAGACGTGTCTTCTGGATAGCCTACATGTTAGATAAAGAGTGAGTCTTTGTAGCTCTCTTAAGCTTACCATAGACTAACACCATCAAGCATCTGCTTGCGATCCGGCAGACCACCTGTACAGGATGACGACGACATGAATGTCGAATTGCCTAGCGACACCCCACCAGACAACATCGGGAACATTCCGCTGGCTGACGGAAAGGGCACTATGAACCTATTCCGTCTCATGTGCACCTTCTCCGTGATTCAAAGCAAAGTTTACAAGGGTCTCTATTCCGTAAAGGCATCTAAACAGACCGACGGGGAACTGCTAAATACCATTGGCGAGCTGGACAAAGAGCTAGAAGCATGGAAGGACGACATACCATTAGAGTTCCGGCCAGAGCATGACATCAAGGCATCACATACCCCGCTCATTCTCCAAGTCGCAGTACTGCATCTTGGCTATTACAACTGTTTAACCACCATCCACCGTATGAGTGTACATCACGGATACTGGACTAGTCGATTGTCCAACTTTGCGATACAAGGACTGAATGCTCGACCTCTCAACCCGAGAGTCTTCATGTCCGCCCAACTGTGTGTTCAGGCCGCCCGAGCCTCGATACATCTCCTGAAGTACATACCGAAAGGCGATTTATCTTGTGTCTGGCTAGTGATTTACTTCCCAGTCACTGCATTAGTTACGCTCTTTGCCAACATCTTACAAAACCCACAGGATACGCGATCACGATCGGATCTCAAGCTTATGAAGCTGGTCGTCAACTTTCTGAACATGCTCAACGACGACCAAGGAAGCGGCAGTGTCAAGCGCATGTGCACAGTGTGTGCTGAATTCGAGCGCATTGCTACTATTGTGCTAGAAAAAGCCGATCGCGAACACGCGTCGCGACGGAAGAGGAAGCAAGGCGACAGCGAGCAAGACGCACAAATCGAAGCAACAGCGGCCGAGCTGCTCTCGACGGGTCGTAACGCACACTCGTCACCTCAGCAGGCCACTACTCCACAGAACAATAACCAATCAGAAGGCATGATCTTCAATCCGGACTTCCAGGGGTTCAACGAGGTAGGCTCTACCACTGTCATGCTGAGGTCACTGCTAACATGCGCAGCCATTCCCCTTCTCACCAAACTTCACACACGACTCCTTACAGCCCAATATCCAGATGAGCCAATATGGCTCACCAGGTATCACCGCCCAGATGCTCCAACAATCACAAAGTTTACCAATGACCACTGGTGGTGATGTGAACGGCATCAGCTCCAACATCAACGCCATGGCGGGCATGGGCCAGTTCGACCAGACCTTCAACAACGTTCCACAAGATCTCTGGAAAATGCCAATGACGCTGGAGTGGGACTGGGCAGACATGACTGGTGGATTCTCGGGGTACGAGGACGGGATCAGTATGAACGGCGTTCTTCCAGACTTTTCGAACCAATCTGGCCATGGAACGAGTGAGTTCAACCAGGGCGCTATGAACGGCGGCCGGTGATAGGCCTTTGGCAACTGAGATTGGCGTTGCATAACATCGACCATTACGTCTCCCACCTTCCCCACCGTCTGGACACGTTCTCGCGAGACGCGGCCGATACCATGATCCGACTCCCCTCCAGCACAACTTGGGTGCTTCGCTATATACCATTGTTATCATCCGAAATCTCTTGACGTTCTTGGCGCTTACGACCTCATGGCCTTGTAAAGTAGTGTTTTATCCTAACAGACACATTGTAATAATACAGTTGTGCTCATTAGCTAAGCTTTATCGTGCCGCATGCACACCAACCAAGTCTCGGTAGCCCGTCTGCAAGACTGATCGTAAGCTGAAACTAAGACCGCGCTACGGCCCATGGTCCGGAGATCCTCGCTGTACGCTTTCGTAGCTATGATGCTCACCCGCAGGTTGCTTTTACATCCAAATCCTTGCATTTATTTCTTTTTGAAGTTCTTGGGCCCATCGTGTAGCTCGACCCAACACTCTCTCCCTCCCGGCGAGCTTTGCAATCTTGGTTTGAGATCTAGAACCAGCCCAAGTTTCAGCCACAATGGTCAACATCACAGCCCTACTCTCCTCGCTCATAACAGCGAACCACATCCTCTCTTACCACAACGTCCTCGATCCCTTTGGCCACGTCAGTGTTCGTAATCCAAACACCAATACAACATTCTTCATCGCGCTGCAAATCGGTCCAGCAACAGTGTCCAGCCCCGCCGACATAGGCGAATACCTCATCTCAGATGGCACACCCGTCAACGGCACAGTTGGCGGCTACGCAGAACGCTACATCCATAGCGAGATTTTGAAACGGTATCCTGATGTCAACGCCGTTGTGCACAGTCACTCCGAGGATGTCCTTCCATATACTGTTATCGATACATCATTTGAGCCAGTGTACCATATGGCCGGCTTTCTTGGTGAGAGCGTGCCGAACTTCGACATTGAAACGGTGTACGAAGAGGGGGATCCGAGAGATATGTTGGTAAACAGTCCGCGGCTAGGCGCCGCTTTAGCAGACAACTTCGGCGTGAACGAAACGAGGCCTACATCTCCTTTGCATCCGACGGTCCTGCAGCGGGGACATGGCTTCGTTACAACAGGGGAAAGCGTGGAACAGGTTACTGATTTTGCGTATTATGCAGCGAGTAATGCTAGGGTGCAGACGAAAGCATTGTTGTTGGCGAATGTGGGGAGAGGTGGTGGCGGGGATGGAGGGATAAGGTATTTGAGTGGTCAGGAGAGGAAGGCGACGAATGAGATGAATCGGTGGATTGTGTTCAAGCCTTGGGCGCAGTGGGTGAGGGAGGTAGAACGGAGTGGTATGTTCGTGAATGAGTTGGGAGCGCCGCCTGTGCCGGATCAGTAGGTGGGAAATAATGAGCTAGGTGACAGGCGGAGATTATGGTTTCCTTTGAGTTGGAAGTCGTGGTGTGCAGAACTCACTTCCACCTATATCGATATCTTTTATGTTTCTGTTGGAACAGTAGAGTAATGTCCCCTCCAGAGGGCCTTCAGGCTAACTCATGAGCATAGAGAACTTGTTCTCGTCGCACTCTTTGCCGTTGCTTGGGATGAGTAGATGTGGTAATAGGATGACTGGGATATAGGCTATTTGGGTGACCTAAAAACTAATTTCTCTCGCTTCCAGATGTCGAATATCATTCCTTCGCCCTTACATAGTGGTTACAGTTTACAAATCATGAAGCTGATGCGGCCAGACCTCACCTGTCGCCGGAAACTACCACACATTCGTGCAAGCATTGCAAATCTTCGGCCAGTAGTCAGCAGCTTCTACCTGGCTACTTGATGAAGTCAGTATAAGAGCAGTGCGAATGGTGAATACTGCAACCACTAGCGATATACTACGTGTATGACGCCATCTGCCAAGCCCCTTCCGCTCTCGGGAACGGAGGAAAGCGACAACGTCCTCCCCAGTCCACCCTCTTGATTGCCGTTCGTCTCCACTCACGTCACGTCGAAGTTATACCACAAAAGGAAGCTCATTGTAGTACCAAGACTCTAGCACCCTGATAGACATCAACATGCCTGCGAAGGATGTAGGTATCCGGCTCAACCATCACGACCGATAACGTGCTTGGGTATACATATCACGACTATCATGACAGGGATCAGGAGTAGAGGTATATACGAACGTCGCTTGAGCTTTTGCCAGTGATGCATTTCGCGGCTCTTCTCAAATATCCCGCCAGATAGCCTCCACACCACATTCCGCCGACTGAGAGCGCATCGATCGCCATGCGAATCCCATCCAGATCTACATTGAGCTTGCTTACAGTTCAAGCAACGACGGTTATTGCGGACCGATATGCCAGCAACATAAGACCTGTTGTAATCGATGCACCACAAGTGGCAGCCAACTTTCCCAATGTAGAAGGCATTCAGCTACTATCGCCAGCTTTCGTGAGCCCAAATAACGTACCAGCTACGTTCGCAAACGGCACTTCCGGACCAACTCCACAGCAAGACTTGGGTACGTTGTTGTACGTCAAAAGCTACAGACTCGCTGACGTTTTGCAGAAAGCTTTGTGAAGGGCATTGCCCAGCGTAACGGCTGGATCACCTACAAGAGCGGACTAGAATCCGAGGAGGGCCGCAGAATACCCTACATTACACTGACGAGTGGCAAGAACAGTACCAACAAGCTACGTATCTGGATCCAAGGGGGCCAGCACGGAAACGAGCCAGCAGGTGATGAAGGTGTGCTAGCACTATTAGGGAGACTCGCTCAGGACTCACAATGGAGCGCGAAAGTCCTCGAAAAAGTTGATCTTGTGATTCTTCCACGCTACAATGTCGATGGCGTGGAATATCTGCAGCGACAGCTGGCCTCCAACTACGATCCTAATCGCGATCACGCTGTGCTCGAGAGACAGCAAACGCGAGCTATTAGAAAGCTACAATCCGAGTTTGACCCTCACATCTTCATAGACGACCACGAATACACAGGTGGCAACCCGGTAGCTCAAAAATACATCCGCGCACAAGATCTCCTAGTCTCAGCCAACAAGAACCAGAACGTTCATCCCGATATCCGAGCATTGAACCAGGAGTTTGTACACGACATCTTCTCAGTTGCTGAAAGCCACGACCTCCGGATATTCCCATACTTTACCACCAGCGTAGCCAACGGAACGATCACTATCGAAGAGCCTGATGCGACTCCAGCGGCAAACCACAAAGGTGCTGGCAACTACCAAGCGCTTACGTTCCTGGTAGAGACGCGTGGTATTGCTATCGCTGATCAGCATTTCCAGCGACGTGTAGCTTCCCACCTCATCGTCCTAGAGACCATCCTTAACAAAGCGGTTAATGAATACGACAGCGTGTACAGCAAAGTTGAGGCAGGACGTAAAGCGTTCATCGAGAGTAAAGACGACATTGTTGTTGCGTACGAACAGCGTGTCACAAACAAGACAGTTCCCTTCATCGACGCGTCGAACGGTTCCCTCGTCAACGTGCCCGTCCGCTCTAGAAACAGTGATCCCTACCTTGTCACTCTGTTCCGACCTCGGCCAGAAGCCTATGTCTTCTCGCGCGCATGGACAGATGTAGCGGAACGTCTCCGCATACTCGGCGTTACCGTCAATGTCCTCCAAGAAGAGTTCACCGGCAGTGTTGAAGCGCTGGTGGTGACGTCGGCTGAGCTGGCTGAAACAAAGTTCGAGGGCATCGCGGGTACTACAGTAACGACTAATGCGACACAGCGAGAGGTTACGATACCTGCTGGAGGCTACTGGGTTGACACTAAGCAGAAGAATGCTGGGTATGCTTTTGCGCTGCTAGAACCAGAGGCAGAAGCGAGTCAAGCATATTATAACAAAATTCCGTTGGAAGTGGGAGATGAATATCCTGTATTTAGAGTCATCTAGGGATATTTGAATGCTGTGATGGAACAATTGCTCCATCTACGTACTAAGATGTGCTTTGAGTGCCCTTCTCTGCCTGACGCAAACCCATCTTCACCATTGGACTCTGCATCAACGTATCCCAATCGTGAATGAACAGTGTCTGTTTGAGCGAGATGTTCATCTCTAATACACCCCGTTCCAGGACTTCAGCATCATACTCATCAACAGCTTGTTTGAGATCCTGTCCCTTCTCAGGAGAGCCATGCGCTTTACGCATAGCAGCGACGAAATTAGCAGCATCTTGCAACGCGTTGTTGAGGCCTTGCCCTCTATGCGGCGTCATAGGATGCGCAGCATCACCACAAAGTGTCATCTTCCCACCCTTGTTGTCCCATTTGGCAGCCTTCTCCCAGAACGTGCCTTTGTCAAGTGGAAGCACGGTAGCAGGGTCAACAGCTCGGCCAGCAGATCTCCAAGGCTCCGCATATTCTTCTGTGCGCCTCTTGAAGAGCGACATGCGACCTTCGAGGGTGGACAGATCCACATCATCTGGCACACTAGAGTCCAGCCACGATTGCAGGACCTGGAATGTCCATGTTGCGGGGTCGGAGGGGTCAGGCACGTCTTGTATGGATAGCCAGAACATGGTGCCATGACTCGGGTGTATGCTTGTAATGAAGAGGGGATTCATGTTTCGTATGCGCTTGGCGAGGTCGGCATCGAATTTGTAGGGGAAGTTGAACATGCTGACAGATGCATTGGTGAGTTTTGCTGCTTCTGTGCCGACAATGGCTTCGCGAACTCGCGACTTTGCGCCATCGCAGCCTACCAGCACATGGCCAGTGGCTGTGCTGCCGTCTTCGAATGTCACCCTCACCTTGTCATCGTCACCGACCACAGCACTGGTGAACTTCTTCCCGTATTGTACATCTAAGCCCTCGCTGAACAAGTTACGCATCTTCCTACGGCTAACGCGACAAGGCTTGTCCGCTGCGATTTCAAATATGCGCTCGCCCGTCTCGCCATTGAACACCGATAAACCTGTGGCGGAGGCTTGGTCCTGGGTCGGGTCGGCGAAGGCTTCGTGGATGCGATTTGCGAGTTCAATTGGCAGGCATGAAGCGATGTGGGAACTCCCCCAATGCAGTGTCATGCCCCATTCTCGTGGGCGCGTCTGGTATGTCGTCGAGGTCTCGGTTTCAAAGATCGAGAAAGATATGTTTGCCTAAGTGATGGTATTAGTGATGTGGGCGTTGGATGGTTTTGCGACTGAATCGTATACCTTCTTCAAACCCTGTGCAATGAGCAATCCGCTTGTTCCAGCTCCTACGATCAGGATGTGAAGGTCCTTATTCCCGTTTGTAGCCATTGCTTTAGTCGGCACCTCGATAGGAGATTGGGTGCTTTCAGATAGGAAACCAAGCTGGCATCATCGTAGGGGGGAGAGACGGCACGGCCGTGCCCGCGGGAGGCCCATCAGTCTTCATTTTACCCGTCCCGCATCTTGACTATCTTCGAGAAGATGGATATGGCTAGGAGCGCTGGGATGTTCGGCATGCGGGATGTAATGGGTATCTTGTCCGTGCGCCAGATCTAGCGCGTTTTCACCACGTGCATACCATATCGCGATCACGCTAGTCCGTCTTTATCTGACCTCGTTCGTCATTCAATTCCTTTCAGATCAACGCAGTTTCAACAGTACATAAACGCGAAGCGTATCTAAGTTACTAACCGGAAATTATTCATACCATAGTCTCACACCATGGACCTTGATACCATCGAACTGAATATGCGTTCACCGGTGCGATCGGCTAAATGCTACACTCTGTCCTAACCTACTCATCTTGGAAGATTGAGTATAGGACAGAACAAATCCGCATGCTTCTATTGGTTTTCTCCTGTGTTGCAGGTCACATCAGGCGTCACTTGCGGGGCTGACAGGCTGCAGCGATGCGAGTAAGCCAAGCCCTGTTGACGCCTACACTTTCACAGTACCTCTCTAGATCGCTGTATCATGGCGCGTAAGTCAATACGTAAAGTTTCTTGATCTTTTCATAACAGTCACCCTTTATCTTGCCAATTTACCGCGGTGATGCGTTTACTGCAGCGCCTGCCGGGGTCCAGCGACTTCAGCCTTGTTGAGAGATTCGGCGAAGAGATTCCACCTTATGCTATTCTGTCGCACACTTGGGGGTCGGACGAAGATGAAGTCACGTTTTCAGGACTACGAGATACCCTAGTCAAAAAAAAGGCAGGATATAGCAAGCTTTCATTCTGTTCTCATCAAGCTGCTCAGGACGAGTTGGACTTCTTCTGGGTCGACACATGTTGCATTGACAAGAGTAGTAGTGCCGAACTGTCTGAGGCGATCAACTCTATGTTCAAGTGGTATCAGAAGGCAGCGAAGTGCTATGTTCTTCTGACGGATGTATTGATCGATTTACCCGCCAGAGACGTCTCTCAGCAACATTGGGCGCAAATATTCCAGAAGAGCAGATGGTTCCAGCGCGGATGGACATTGCAAGAGCTACTTGCACCGAGAGTTGTCGAATTCTTCTCAAAGGCTGGGACACGGTTAGGAGACAGAACAACACTGCTACAGGCTCTCCACAGCAGAACCCAAATACCCATCTTAGCACTTCAGGGCGCCCCGCTGCTACAATTCAGCATCGCCGAGCGTATGTCGTGGTTCAAAGGACGTCGAACGAAAAGAGAAGAAGATGAGGCATACTGTCTTCTAGGATTGCTTGGCGTTTTCATGCCGTCAATATACGGCGAGGGACGGCAATCGGCGCTGGCACGGTTGCAAAGAGAAGCTCGTGCAAGTCAGCAAACGATGCCTCTGGACTCTTTGCATCATGTAGGTCAAGTTGAGAGAAGCGACAGCAACCAGACATCCCTGTCAAAGTTTGTTGGAGAGATCCCCGTTCGAAACATCGCCCTCAGTCCGTTCGATAAATCGGTTGTCCTCAATGATCCAGACGTTCTGCATCGTATGGCGACAGCGATAGAGAATCTATACGGCTTATTTCCCGCATCACGAATCACAAACATTGCTCAAGGACTCTCGAGTAGTAGCTCGTTCACGCTTCATCCTACGAGTCATAGCACGCAGCTTGAACAAACCATTTCGACAATCTCTCCGCCAAAAGTACGTCTTAAAAGAAGCGGCTCCAAACCCGAACTATCAGTGCCAGACAGTCGTTGATCCAAATCTGCATTTGGCCCGGGGATAATAATGGCTGTCAGCATCGTGCAAGGCCGTAACGGGCTGATACAAATGGGTCTATCAATTTAAGACCTAGCGTTACTTATTGATCAAGGCCTGCGGTTCGGCAACTTTGCTCGTATAGGACAAAACGACGATGAGCTTTTCGAACACCTAGATGAAGATCGAGAAGCTATACTCAGACGACGTGGACTTGTGTATCCACTTGAAATGGAGCAGAGATGGCACCAAATAATCTTTGTCCACCAAGGTTTACAGGTGACGGGCGACATCGTGATAGGACCTCAAAAGGGCTTACCCAGAAGCACGGGATACATTCGTTCCGGCGCAATTCGTTCCGACGCAGACAGCTTCGCATGGGTCATGACCACAATTATCTCGGCATTGGACGAGTGCTTGTCGCCAAGTGAGATCCAGGATCTTCTCATCCAAGTCTTCAATGAGGTGATGGACCGTGATGATGACAACACATCTGCAATGAAAATACATATCAAGAGGAATATAAATTCTTGGAGGTCGTTTGGATGTGCCAGAAAGATAGCACATTCAATCAAGAGAAAGATGCGAGAGAGCCTGTCGAATGGCATACTCAATCAGTTTTCGAGACACGCTGTTCCTCAACTGAACGAAGCGGAAAAAGAACATGCGAAAGATATGCTTGTCTGGTTCCTCAGCGGCGATACAACGGCCTTCAATACTATGTCTCCGATTATATTTTCTATGGCGGAGGCCTGGAGTAGGGTCGGGCTTGATCTGTGTACTGATGGAATTCCTAGGCGTGAAAGTCAAGCCTGTGTTCATCTTGTAGTAGGACCCACTACGAGTCCGATACCGACTCGAACGGAAGTGGGACCTGGGCCCTGTCAGATCTCCTGGCCTCGAGATAAACCTGAAACGATGATATACGCACTCGGTGTCAGCCGAGAATTGGAAACAGCTATGTTTCAGGCTTGGCAACACGGAAAAGTCGCTGCTGATCATCTAGAGTTAGTAGGCAAGGCCGAGGGACCTTTTGGTTACACAAGTGAGGTTTACTACAATATTTATGTGCCAGGCGGTGCACGCGTCAGCAGAAAATATGGCCCGCACATCGGGTTGCTTGCCAATGAAGGTCTTCCTGTAGACACCGAGAAGATACTGAGGACGTTGGACTGGATTCTGGTAGGCGAGGCGCCAGACAGCTCGCAATGGCTCCGCGCTCGCCTCGCACAAGATAAGCTATTTCGAGTTAGAAGTCCGGATATGCAGTGCGAGCAGAGGTACAAGCAGGTATTCTACAAGTACCAAGCCTTCATCTTCGGATTCTATTATCAGCTTCTGGGACAAATCATCTCTTTTGAGAACGCATACACAGCCGACTTCTTCTACGGGATATGGGGCACACATAGCACATCATTCCTAGCCATGTGTACTCACCTCGGCCGATGCTTAAGAAAAGACGAGAAAGCCACCAGATCCCAAATTCTGTATATACTCGCAGCAATGTATAACGGCCGTTGTAAAACTTTCTATCCGAATTCGACTCTTCCCAAGCTGGTCGGTGTCATTGGGCAAATCTCAGTGTTGACGCTACCCCTAATCCGAATCACGGATGACCCAAAAGAGATATCAAAAATCGCTCTTGTCGATGTGCCGATTGTCGATCTGATTGCAAACAGCGCTGATGGAGATCTCATGGCAAGTGAAGGTGGAGGTCTGAGGTTTGAGTATCCAAGTGAAAACGACCACGCCGTGGCGATCACCCGACCGGCCAGTCCAGCGAGTAGATGGACTGTGTATCCATGCATGAGTACAGTGTTGAATGGTGACAGGACTGATGGCGTAGTAATGGCAGCTAGATGTGGGAAGAGGCTTGTCGGATGGTTCAACCCGCTGGCTGCTGATGTTTCATTTCTGAGTTCAGCTTACGTGACCGAATCGTATAGCGAAGAGACAGTGGTTGCGTTTGAGGTGAGAGACGAACATTGGGAGGCGGGCAAGATTCTGCAACCAAACCCGAATCAACCGGGGTCTGAGTTTGGCGTTGTGCGCTCTCATGGCTCCTCTAGTATGAGGTATGCAGCTGCAGGTTTCTATGCTGAGAGGGGTGAAGAGATAGCGATTGCTCGGACTGCCAGCGAATTCTCTGGAGCGTTCGACAGGGTACAAGCACAAGACCAAGGGATAGTCATCGCATAAGTGCTATGGACGTTCATATGCTTTTAGCTTCAATATCATTACAATTTGCTTCCGCCCGTTGCCTTCACAACAAAACCCAGCCTAGGAAAATGAATTCTGACATCTAGCTCACCCATCTCGTCCGGCTTGATGACCACCTCCTCGCTTCCAATTTTGACCAACGTACCTATCGTAGGATTATCGCGACCGGTGTCATCAGGCACGATGCTTACACTCACACCTGGGACCAGTCCTCTTGAAGCATCAAGGACGATATGCTGTCCCACCGCCGTAGGAACAAGCAGGTCTTCATCGCGTAACAAAGTTGTTCGTCTCAGCGCGTCTTTCCACTGAGCGTCTTCTCCGGGAATTGTTGTTTGTAGATCCGGCAAAGCGCGGATGTACGCTTCGAATGCATCGAACCACTTCACCAAGCTTGGATACCTCTTCTTGCTGAACACTTGTCCCACAACATCATCATTTGTATCATCCGTTCCGCCACCACTAAGATTATTGATACCCTTCCCAGCAGCGATATCAATGCCCCATCTCAACTGATAATACAGACTGATGTCAGCGAGCGAAGGTGTAATCGTCGGCATGGCCCAAGTACCCGACTCAAACATAGGTTCCAACATGGAGAGGTGCAAATCTAGATTGGAAAGATGAATTGGTATCTTAGACTGCAGCTTCTCAGGCGAAAGGGGATGTCCAATGAGCTGAGCGCGATCTTTACCAAAGTCTGACGCCCAGACAGAAGAAGGGATAAATCCGGTAGTCGTCCGAAATAGCGGTTTGTCAGTCCAAAAGCTCGCAAACCCTCTCACGAGCCCACGATACGCCCATCCGCTTACGCCCTCGATAGGCGGATACACGGTAGCCCAACTTTTGTCCACGGGGAAAAAGTGCTCTAGTGCCTCAATGATGAGCGAGGTGTCGCAGTAGATCTCGCTGCCGATAGCGAGGATGGGTATCTTGCGGTACTGGAGGCCGAATGTTGATGTTATGAGGGGTCTCGGTAGCATCGACGGGACAGTGACATAGGCTTCGGGACCAGTGATTAGTCACGGGATCTACGTGCTTCGATCATCGCGAGCAGGTTGAAGGCTTACAGAATGGTATCTGCTTGATGCGTAGTGCTAGTCTGACTTTGTTTGTGAAAGGGCTAGAATCATAGCCGAAGAGAACCACAGGTGGATGATCAATTGGTTGCGCCATGTTGCCTATAGAGAAGCGACGCAGACGGAGCTCTCATAGGAAGGCGTTCGATCCGGCAAAGATATAAAGGAGTCGGTATTGCCGGATCGAGATGAGGTTATACCCCGCGCTCTCCTCGAGAGCCGAGGTTCCAGTCAAGAGGCGAGAGAACGTATGCTTTTTGTACTGAGTCTCTGTTAATTGTTGTACGTGTTCTGATGAAATCTACCCTCTAGGCCAGAGTCATGATCTTCATTCCAGAGTCCAGATGTAGGCCATAGCGGCCCCATCTTATCTCTACCAATGCAAAAAACTGGAACGACACTATTCTGGGGTTGAAACATGCTTTTGCTGTGGTATCGAAATCAAGTCCGTAATCTACCATAATGTGGGACGCCAAACTCCAAGACTATCTGGACGGTGCGCCAGAGTCCTACTCGTCAACATCCATAGCCTCAACACCGCCGCCAACCTTCCTCTTCATCATCTTCTTAGTCTTGCTCCTCGTCTTGGGTGTCGTCTCCTCGAGCTCACTGAGCTCGCTCTCCTCAGCCTCGAGCTCCTTCCTCCTTGCCGCAACCTTGTCCTTGACCTTCTGCACATCGACCTCCATGTCTTCCTGCTCAACCTCGTCCTTGGCAAATCGCTCGCTCGGCGGCAGCAGATGCTGGTTCTCCTCAACCAACTTCCTGTCCTCCTCACGCTGCCTCTGCTTGTTGCCACGCATGCGGGCCTTGTAGAAGGCGCGCTCTCTCCTCTGCCGGATCTCGGATACACGGCCCATGGCCTTGAGGGTGGTCTGGATCAGATCGCGGTTGTATCGCACGGGCACGTTGCGGCGCTGAGCGAAGGTGAGGGTCGAGTCGACGGTCATTTCCTTGTTGTGCGCGCGACGGAAAGACTTTGTCCAGGCGAGCTTGCGGGGGTTGCGCTTCATCTTGAAGTTCTTGTGGCATTTTGATTTGCAGAAGCGGAAGGCCTTGGCATCATTGCGCACTGTGCAGGTTAGGAAAGAGCGTTGTTGATGCGGTTCTGGGTGGTCATACCGAAGGTTATGCCCTTTGACGGGTATACGGGCGAAGAGCAGAAGTAGCAGGTTTCGATTCTCATCCTGTCGTTGTGGCGCGAATACGGTCGCGCTCGGTGCTATGGCAAGGAAGGAATGCGATTTGGGTTGCAAGGATCGACCACGCTTCACAGGTGTTGGCGGTGGTGAGGCGGCGGTGGTGAGGCGGCGTCGTGGAAAAGGTGTGGAGTTGAGGATCGAGAAGTTGGGCCGGCTCGAAATTTTGGGTGGCCCGTGCACATCTACCCACCTGCCATTCTCGCCCGCCAATTGCGATGCATCTCGACCGAGACACCTCCGCAAATTTCCTTCCCACCACCTCGCCGCCGTTATTGACGCATCCATCTGGCGTCGCCCCAATCTCCGCCTCCGCATCGCGCACATCCACCACGTCGAATCTTGAGCAACCGAAACCACTTAGTACGGCGCAATCACGAGACATGTCTGCCTGGGTCTGGATCTTGGGCGCTGGTGCCACTGCTTTCTTCGTATGGCTCCCCCATCTTTGCATTGGCGGTTACGGCCAACTTGGTCACGGAGCAGCTGGAACGGCTTGGAGTGTCAAAGAGAACACGTACTGACAGATGCGAACAGGGCCGCGCAGCACTCGTGGCACTACGGAGATCAGGTGGTGGTTCTGGAGCATTAGGACGTGGATACTACAAGGGCGGCTTTGAGCCCAAGATGACACGGAGAGAAGCCGCGCTGATATTAGAAATGCCGTATGTCGACGAATCCACACAGCCCACCAAGTGCACACGAGACTGACAATACCCCAGCGAACGCGGCATCACGAAAGAACTCCTACGCAAGAAGCACCGGTCGCTCATGCTTCTGAACCACCCGGATCGAGGCGGTAGCCCATACCTAGCGACCAAGGTCAACGAAGCGAAAGAGCTACTCGAGAAGGAGGTCAAGTGATGAACAAGAGGGGGATGATGTGTATACCAAGACTTTGTACTATATCACGGCATGATTCTCAGCATCAGCATGGCGTTGGACTGAATACGATTAGCGATTTACGACTCTCAACACGCTTTCTTTGGTTACAACTTCATTCAATTCCATGTGGTCAACATGTGCTAATCGTCATAGTTTCCACGAGCGCGCTACGATATCATCTATACTGGCAACACAACTTTGACTCCCATGTACTCTCGCTGATGCATGATCTTCCCATCGATAATGACTTGATGTACGCCGACACGATTGTGAATAGTATCTGTAGGATCTGTCGCCGTAGCGATCTGGATCTCACGCCACTCGCGATTGGTAGGAACCAGTTCGCCCTGTAACGTGCGCTTCTTGAACTCTTTGTAGATACCTTGGTCCTCAACACAACCTTCACGCTGGATCAGTGGCGAATCTGCCATAATCATTAGCATCTCGGCTTGTAGGCGAATACAAATTCGACATACCGTACGCAGGCGTCATGCGCAGACTGCCAAGAGAACTGTTGAACAACACGAGTGAGAGGCGATCTTGGTTCAACTGATCTACCGGCGGCTTGAAAACCCGGTGTCTGGTAGCCTTGAAATGCCCGCCCGAAACGATCTCCAGCGTATCACCGATATTGATGACGAGCGCACCAGGCTTGTATGGCACATAGTACCACTTCTCATCCTGTCCCCAGATCTGCAAGCACGAGATCGGCACAGAGAATAGGAGCGTCGTGAGTCCAAAGTCGGTATGGCCATGCATACGCAGACCTTTGGACGCTTCCTGTGTCTGCTTCTGTACTGGACGGAACAGCGCATGGCGAAAGTAGCCCTCGCCTGTGGGTCCATCATGGGACTGGATCTTGTCCCAGAGGTAGTCGTCGGGCAGTTCGAGTACTCGAGAGAAGAGAGTCAGAAGACGGCGATTAACGGACTTGGTGAGGTAGTTGCAGAATGCTTCAATCTCATCCATGAACGGATGCAGGCATTTGGGCGTACGGCTCATGTCTTGCCAGTCAGGTTTGTACCAGTTGAATTGCTCGATGCCATCGGGGGTTCCGCGGTGACGCTGGCCTTGTTGTTAGTGTTCCAGCATTGGCTAATAGAAGACATGATGCTAACCTTGAACCCGTATGGATGCTTGTAACCGGACCATACACCAGTCTCCGGGTTGAAGAGCAGACGCTCCTTGTCTTCTTCACCTATATTCTCGTATAGATACTGTGCAAGAGCGAACTGTCTGTGCAGCTGCTGTAAAGAGACGCCGTAGTTCTCCAGGAACAGGAAACCATCCTCTCGGATAGCTCGCTTAACCTGCCCAACAAGGTCATCGACAACTGCTGGATCATCAGAGTCCATTAGAGACAAGTCGATGGAAGTGAGCTCGGCAAAGTCTTCTTTCTGCTGAGTGACTGGTGGAGGAACCCATTCTGGTACGAAGGGCTTGCCAGGAAGATCGGCTGATGGGGGATTGAACTTGGCGGCGGGTGCCATGACGATTGATGTGTTGATGAATCTACTGAAGGTATCGTGTATAAGAATAAGCTGATCACTGCATATCCTTTGAGCTTGGAAATCGAGTCCTTATGTTCTTGAGGCAGATCCTAGTGTAACCTCGCAGTTGTCGTCAGGTCCGAATTCAAGGATCGAGCTCCTCCTCAGCCAGAATCATCATTTCATGGATGGCTCAAAGGTCATCATACGACTGCGTACGGTCCGGCGACTGGGGGCCGCGGCCTTTGCTAGTAAACGCAATCAACAAAGCCGTTGAAGCAGTGGCACTCCGACTATGCGACTCGAGTCCGGATTATCACCTATCTCCGCCTCCACCTTTGCTTTCTACATACCGCATTCTAGATGAGACCAATCACGTCAAGTTCCTGGATGAGAAACATACAGTGTTGCGATGGAGGAGCGATTGCCAACGGAGGAGCTCCTCCCCGTTGTGGGGCTGTGGACTAGCGCGCCCTGCTGGCTTCGTCCTCCACACCCTTGGAGCTCCTCATCCCTCCACCAAGCTTCAGCGTAACGTAACCGCTTTGAATAATGACAAGCTGTTGTAAGGCTATATACTCAGGTATCACAGTATGTGGCTCTATACCTCCAGCCTCGCTTTCACAGAAGAGCTTGCGTCCAGCTTGACGAGATCGACTACTATTCTTGCGGAGTCACTCCTATCGTAGCGCCATCATGTCGCGTCAACTCATCTCCAGCGAGAAGTTTCCCACTAAACCACACAATTGCCCCGCCACGAAAGTCCCAGGACTAGTCTTCTGTGCTGGACAAACAGCTACTGGAGAGATCAAGCAAGCCACAGTAAGTTTTCCCATAGCGTATCACAGCTTCTCATCATTTAGTACGTACTGACTCAACCCCAAGAGAAAGGTTCTCCAAAACCTCAAAGAGGTTCTCGAGCTATCCGGTTCGTCGCTTGAACAGGTTGTCAAATATAATGTCTACCTTGCAGACATGAAGGATTTCGCGGCCATGAATGAGGTGTACATCGACTTTTTACCTCAGCCGATGCCGTCGAGATCATGCCTGCAGGCGTTACCTCCCGGTGATGGCACCGTTATTGAAATTGAGTGCATAGCCCAAGTTTGAATTGGGGCGGATTGAGTGGGAGCATCGCGATGGTCACACGGCTTAGTCGGTGCGCTTATGAACCTGCATCCGGCGACAACTCTTCGTAGAGGACGTAGGCTATATATGCTAGTCGAAGCAATTTCACACATTGACTGTCATCAAAAATTAAACTTCTTGGAATCAAAATGAACAGATGAGAGAATTCTTCCCATGTGTGACCTACCAGTACTGATATCTTCATAGCGGAACGAACTTTGCTACTAGCATCAAAGATATTGAAGAACCCAAAATACCCTCAGGAACATGATGCAAATATTGGAGGCTCAAGCAGAATATCGAATGAGAACTTAGGCTTAAGGCATGTGCTTAGGTGAATACGAGCGATCAACAAAAGTTATGTGCAACTATCAAAAGCTTCGTGAATAAGTCTAGTGAAAGCTATGGGTTGAAGGCAGCACCCAAAGGTCGTACAGGACCATATGATGAACTGGTGATATGTTTGATTATTATCCGCATCTATCTGACCACGACTTTTGTTCCACTCAGCATCTCATACGTTCGATCTCGCAATCTCGAATTCGGCCATATACCAGTTCTGTATTGCCTTTGTGTCTCCAGTGATAGCAACAGTATCGTACCTTTCCCTCGCTTCCCTTGCGGCGGTCCCATTGTTCACCATTCTTCCAGCCCACTTTCCGTGTTTGCGAGCAGCAGAGACTATTTTGTCGACAGCTTGAACGAACTCTGGCTCGTCACCACGTGCAGGGGTATAACCAAGGAGAGATTGCGCGAGGTCGTTAGGTCCAATGAATATGAGATCAACACCCGGAACTGCAGCGATGGCGTCGACATTATCAACTCCAGCCCGTGTCTCGATTTGAATCATGGTGATGATTGTCTGATCAGCCGACTTCATATACTCGGGTGTTGTAAGACCATGGCCGATAGCTGGAAAGGCCGAGCCTTGACCGCGAACACCTTGTGGCGGAAATTTCGAGGATGCGACAACTTGTGCGGCTTCTTCTGCGGTGTTGATCTGAGGAACCATAAGGCCATGTGCCCCAGTGTCGAGCGCACGCTTGAGTATATCGTGTGTCGGTCCGCGAACACGTATGATCGGAGATACGCCCAGAGCTGAAATAGCGGCTACTGAGTTGTGCATGGCGTCGTCTCCGATATGACCATGCTCACAGTCGATGATGATTCCATCGAGGCCTGTTAACGCAACGATTTGCGCTTGCCGAACAGAAGGTATTGCGACAAAAGTCATCAGCGGAAATTCGCCGCTTCTGATCTTATTGAGAAGCCTCAGACGAGGGTTCTGGATTGTTGTTGTCTGCGCTGTGGGATAGCTCATGATGTAGGATGGGTTTGGCAAAGTATATATCAAAAATGGAGTAGAGAGAAAATGCTGAGATGGGGTCTTGATGTCACTGGGATGACGGCAAGGTAGATGTCATGTTGGTGCATAGGACGACACGTCCACCTAAGTAGTATCACAGCCTCTGTCGTTCCATCGAAATGATGCTGCCATCGCATGCGACGTGCAGTTTGTGAGGAGCAAGTTGGTTCCACTTGAGATGCCGACCATAATGGAGTATAGGTTTGCTCCGCTCGGAGGAGAAGAGAGGAGCTCCTCCCATCGGGCCCGCTAGCTTCATGCAGGGACCACGAGTCATACAAGCATTACCCCTGATCTCACTTTCTCACCCAGATAAGCACACGATAATCGGAACCCACCAGTTCGGGACGTTCCTCAGCTCGGGTGCTCCTCTCAGTGTCATGTAGTTTCGATTAATGACAATACTATGCCATATCTGCTATAAATCATGTCATATTGTGACGAAATATCGGTCGTCTCTCATCGGCGTCTTTACAAACTGTAGTTGCATTTTTCCTGGCCTCATCAATACATCTGAAGCCACGTTGTGCGACAATGGAGACTGAGATGAAGAAGCTCGACCTAGTCGGGACCGCGGATACTGATGTCGAGATAGGCACTATTCACAACGAGCGTATGCCCCATTCCCTTCGCAATCTAAGTCAAGATGAGATCTCGGATCTCAACCGGAAGCTTGTTCGCAAAATCGACTGCATCGTCTTGCCAATCATTGGCATCCTCTATATACTGAACTACATCGACCGTCAAAACTTGGCTGCAGCGAAATTACAAGGTATCATGGAGGATCTTGACATGACAACTCAACAATTTGCGACGGCGATCTCGATCCTCTTCGTTGGGTATCTCCCTTTCCAGATTCCGAGCAACTTGGTAAGTTGTGCCTACACAAAAGGTATGCGAGACACACACTGACTTCGTACCTCCATGTTTGCAGATCATTGCAAAGATCTCGAGGCCTGGACTATACATCTGCGTGGCTGTGGTCATCTGGGGGTCGATTTCTGCTGCGACGGCAGCTGTGAAGACGTATGGTCAGTTGTTGGCTGTACGCGCTATTCTTGGGGCGGCAGAGGCTGTGTGAGTCAGCCACTAAGTCATTCGAAAGATCTACGCTGACTCCGATACTTTGTTCCAGATTCTTCCCTGGAGCCATGTACTACTTGTCAGCATGGTACAACAAGACTGAACTCGGAAAGCGTATCGCGGCCTTGTATATTGCGCAACAATTCGGTAACGCATTCGGTGGCCTCTTTGCTGCTGGTGTCTTCGAGCTCGATGGAAAGCATGGCATCCGTGCATGGCAATGGCTATGTAAGTAGACGAATGTCAATGGCTGCATATATCTGACAACGCTGACGTGTCTTTAGTCATCATCGAAGGTTCTGCTACGGTCGGCATCGGCGGAATCTGCGCCTTTCTTATGCCAGAATTTCCACATAATAGCAAAATACTCTCCCCTATTCAGCGTGATCTCGCAGTCTGGCGCATCGAATCCGAGTCGGGCGCTGCAGAAGGTACCGAGAAAGAGAGTGTCCTGAAGGGGTTCAAGATGGCGATTAGTGACCCAAAGTTGCTGCTCCTCATTCTATGCAATCTCCTCTCACAGGCGCAAGGATCAATCGCCAACTACTTCCCGACGCTGGTCGCCTCTCTAGGTTACAAGGGTAACACCAGTCTTCTTCTAACTGCCCCACCATACATTCTTGCAGGCATCGTCTACTATGGACTTATGTGGTACTCTGATCGCAAGAACGCAGCATATCGCATCATCCTTGCGTGTATTGCCATCGCTTGTGTCATGTATATCATACCCATGACGACGTTGAATGTCGGTGCGAGGTACTTCTCCATGATGATCCTCCCCTTCGCCTCCGTCGGACCACAGCTTGTACTGTACAAGACTATCAATCTACATCTTGCACGCCCAACTGCTAAGCGTGCAGCAGCGTCAGCGCTAGTCAATGCCATTGGTGGCACCTCCAATATTTGGGCCTCCTACCTTTACTACGCTCCACCGCAGTTCTACACGGCCTTCGGTACGCTGATGGGCTGCGCGTTAGCATTTGCAGCTACCATAACCTTCTACCGTTGGCTTGTTCGTCGAGAGAACAAACGCCTTGACTCTTGCGATCCGGACCAGATTGCGAAGGTCATTCGAGGTGGCGTCACGGAGGAGATGGTACAACTCAATTGGCGGTACGAGATGTATTGAGGGCAACCGTCGTGATAGGCAAGGGTGTCATCTAGCGAATTGATGATGGTTGTAGTGGTGTTCGTGATGGTAACAGTCAGTTGCTATAAAGTTCGGAAAACTTTAGTATAACAACTACGACCTCTCGCGCGTAACTATGGTCTTGTCCCTGACTGGTCACCTCACCTGTCGATACTCTAGCATCTCATGTACAATTCCATGATAATCAAGGACAGTAATGGCATTATTGCATGCCGTTCAGCCATTGTTGTAATGCATAAGGACTTCGATGCCTGTGTCGCGAGGCGGCGGTATACCACTGTTCAAACGCCGATCGGGCCGACGTCGCCATTCCCCAACCACCCCCGCTTCCTTCTCGCAGGCCATTGACCATGACTTTCCGTCTGGATCCCCTAGGGCCACGAACTATCTCGATACTGTGGGTCTAGGAAGTGCGTGCAACCAATTGCGGAACGATGATTTGTATGAGCAACGACGCGCCTCTAAATGCCCGTAGGGGCCTATCCGATAGGACATACCCCTGCTAGTGGGAGATAAGCACAATTACCTTGGATGCAAGTACATCTTGAAGTGAATGAATGATACGCATCTAACTGTTACCGAAATATCTAGCAAACATCATCGTTATGGCATCCATTGGTGTAGCACCTCATCCTGTCAAAGACCAACCATCTTTCCAGCCCTTCCAATGTTAGACCTGTCAAAGTCGCTTCACACGACACGAAAACCTCAAAAGACATGCTGCCCTCCATACGCGTACTCGGGAAAGGGCCTCTTTGGCCTGTCACTTCTGTGCAGCAACATTTTCAAGATCAGACCTTCGGCAGCGGCATATTAGGAGAAAGCATCCTGACCAGCAAGCCAGCCAGCTCACGAAGCAGTCGGGAGTACAGCCAGATGGAGTCTCCCCAGTCTCGGCTCACGAGCAACAAAGCAATCTTGCGTCAGTTACACCGGATGAGATGGGTGACCTTGATCTTGACACAGCATGGCGGACTATTCTTGATGGTCACAGCCAGCAGCACAACTCTACGACAGATGATGAGCTTCTGGGCATCGCGACATCGAACAAGAGAGTGGCTTCTGTCTTCCTACCAGAACAGTCAGTGAGCAACATCGACGTCACCTTGCAGAGGATTCTAGCGACAGAGACGGACCCACAGCTGGAAGTCACACGTATGCAAAGTCCTCAATTTAACACACTTGGTGACAACCTCGGTCTTTCCAGCATGTGCAGTCCCTGCGGGTGGTACTCAGGTGAGTCGCCCCGACTGCAAGATGACTGGAATATTTCCACAGCGCAAGTTGTCCGAGGTGTCGAGTTGTTCTTCATTCACCTGTCTTCGTTCCTGCCTTTCATTCATCGGCCAACATTCGATAGCAACAGAGCTGATGAAAGTCTACTTTATGGCATGCTTGCTCTTGGGTATCAATATGGCGAAGACCCGGACGATCAAGAGAGAGCTTCATCCGGCGCTAGCCTGTCCTTAAGATGCTATCACCAATCCCGCGCGTTGCTCAAATTCAATAACGACGAAGAGACGCTCGGCAACCCTCAGAGAGTAACGACCGTGCAAGCCTATCTTCTACTGCAGGTTCTGACTATGATGTATCTCTGCGGAGCATCGTCAGCATATGGCCTGAAGATACATTCAAAGATCGTCACGTTGGCGCGAGCGGGTGGACTTATGCAACCATTACCGGCCCAACCGACTGCAGCAGCAGACCTGGATTCTCTTTGGCACCAATTCGTCCAAAACGAAACGCATAAGCGAACGTGTTTTGCCATACATCAGATGGATGCTTTATGGTACCAGGCACTTTCCGTCCCCCGATCATTATCGCATCTTGAAATTAAACAGGAGTTACCTTGTGCGACAGATCACTGGATAGCAGCAAACTCTGGCGAATGGGCACACAAGCAATTACTCCTGAGACAGACTGGCCCACCAACACAATTCTCCGAAGTAGTCAAACAGTTCTTGACTTCCAGTTCGGATCTACTTACCTTGTCTCCATTCGATCCTTATGCAACTATCAACATAAATCAGTTCCTCATTTCGAGTGCTCGAGAAGTGTCTGGTTGGTCTACGATAACAGGTATTCTGAGCACAGATAGAGTGGAGCCACTCAGGTCCTCTCTTGTTGCGCTAGAGCCTTTTGCCCGGCCACGCGGAAGCAATTCAGACCCATCGCAGGCTTCGCTGAGTGAAACCACCTGGGAGACGGCGATGATTGAACTGCAAATGTGGTCACCTACACACACTAGTGGTATCATCGAAGGGAGCGCAGATGCAGTACTGTACCAGCTTACAGACCATGCGCCGTCGTGTGAGTTTCTTTGTGAATCACGCATCTCAGATCTACTTCAGCCACATGTCGATTGGTTTCTGCGGTACCTGGATGTGACCACATCGCCAGAAACCGAAGCACCCTGGGTTCTTCTCTATGCTTACAAAGCCTTCATGATTGCGTGGCAGCTTGTTCGCCGCGGCAGGGTAGGATCCATGCGGGTCGTTCGAGTGCAGGATGGCGATACGCAAGGTGCACTTGTGTGGGCCCGGATGGTCTTTGGACGACGGCAGCGGTGGCAGCTCGGTCGGGTTGCGTTGAATTGTATAGACCGACTGGAAGCTAATGTACTAGTAGAAGCTTGTAAGTAAGTCTGTCAAGACATTAAAGGCTTGGCCTTACTTATGGTTCCATCGCTACCGCTTCGATCCCGAACATACACCTTCAGCCACATGATGGGGGAGAACAATCGAGGTGCACTTTCCAGTCGCTTTACGTGATGCCTCGTCAATGAGCATCAAGGCGTGTGGGAAGTCGAAAGGATTTGGTGTTTTGTGAGTGACAAAATGTGAAGAGGAGGGATGAGCAAGTCAATCAAACATGAACCAACGAACTGCGCAAGATGAGATCCGTCATCAAAAGGTGTTGGAACGTGATTGGGATGTATTCTGCGCGACCGCTAAGTTCATCTAAGTACGAATCAAATTACTCTGAGAAAGCTCTTAATCATTGCCCTTACACCCATTCGTCCATCCTCCTGCGGCTTTGACAACCTTGTTGTTGTTCCAACAGCGTGCGCGAACCCAGATTGGCGTACTGAAGGTAGCGTACCATTCGTGCCCATCATGATCAGCCGGGTTGTTAAAGTACTCGAATTTCCAAAACGTCGTGCCGAGTCCATAGCAACTGTCCATGTTAGGCCGAAGAGTTTTTCCGCCATGATCCCAAGTAGCAAAGCCAGCACCCTCAACCTTATAACGTCCATGGGTTCCCTTGTACCAGCCCTCACATCGGCCGTAAGGACTTTTAGGCCATGGCCAGGGGCGGTTATTGCGGCGAGGGTGGAGCTCATATTTGTAGTCTCCGTTGTCACGAACGTATCGCCCGCCACCCTTCCAGTTCATTGGGTTGTCAGATGTGTCGCATGAGTTCATGAGCTTCTTCATCGAATCGACACATTGGTCTTGATCGAATGCCGAGGCGTCATTCCCCAGTGTGACGACATACTCGTGCTCTTCCGGTGTGCCTTCGTCGTAGATCTTGGAATAGCTCCAATTGATCTTATTAGACGAATGATTTTCCGCGACCTCTTTGCAGAAGCCTTCGTAGTTCTCGTTGGTGCGATTTCCACTGACGTAGTACTTACTGCCAGTCTTCGAAAAACAAGTAAACTCGTCCTTGACAGTTGCTTCGCATGTAGGCGAATCGATACCGAGGACGATGGCACGCAGATCCATGAGCTCAGCAAGTGCAAAGGAGGCTATAGTGAGGTGACCGGCTTCGTTGGGGTGAAACTACACGTGTCAGCGAGGTGAAAATTATCGACCACTCGCGTGAGTGTGAAGGATACTCACATTCTGGCCCACGCGGTCGGGCATACCCATGCCCAGAGTCATGTCGAAACCGCCGTCTCCAGGGCAGGCTGGTGGCGAGGGCGCCCGCGGGTCCAGCTTGTGCCTGACGGCGGCACGCGGGTTGGGTGACTTGTAAAGAACTGAGTCGTACAGTGTGCGTTCAATGTTCCTGTCGCGAGTCTCCATCATAGCCTTTAGGCGGTTGGCACGACGTTTTTCCGAAGTGGATAGTCTCGTCGAGTTCAGCAGTTCGTCGAGATCAATGTCGCGCCTGCGCAGCTCCTGCCGTTCGAAATCATTTTCCCAGCCACCCCAGGGATGCGTGTCAGGCTTGATAAAATGCATGTTTGGTTGTTTGGGATCTGGATAGTCGCCATTGCTACTCGGGGAGCACATTCGGGCGTCGAGCTCTTTGGATACCCAGTCGTCCCATTCGGCATAGCCGACCTTATAATTGATCTTGTCGCTTTCAGAGGCCTGATCCACAGCCTCACGGATGGCCTTGTTGATGTCAAGGACGAGCTGGTTAAAAGTATGACGACGAGCCTTGGTGAGCGCCTGATAGGTAGAGCCTAGCGGAAGAAACCAAGCAATATCCCACGACTGACGATCACAATTGTCTTCGGTCGTGTCAAAGAACTGGGCGTAGCTATTCACGACCACGATGCCATCTTTGTTCATCTTCTCATCGAGCGCCTCCAAAATCTGAAGTATGTTGTCCGTAATGATTGACTTGACATTCTCTTGGGCCTTGGCGATGACCGTCTCGCAAGCAGTGGACTTGCCGTAGGGTAACATGATGCAGTCCGCGATGATTTTGGCCAGACACAGGTCGTTTCCGCCAGAGGTGAAAGTGACAAAGTCGAGCTCGCCTTTCAGAGCCTTCGCCTGTTGGTAGATTTGTTCTGAACGGTCGCCGCTGCAAGCAAGGTATTGGAAACCGCCGTCCTTCTCGACATGGGAGCCAAACTGGGCCTCGATGACTTTAGGGTATGCCATATCATACCTAGAGCATTTCCAGTTGTCGCGAACTTCTTCTAGGCCACTAGGCACTGTAATAGCCACTTCATCGGCGGTGATTCTGTGACCCAGGGGCCTGCCGGCACCAATGCCAGCCGTGTAGCTGTCACCAATAGCCGCCCAACGTTTGATCCATTGCATACTGCTCGGATCGTCATCTCGTTTGGAGAGGGGCGGCGGTGCCGAGGAAGCAGACTTATTGGTAGATGATGCACGCTCTCGGTGGAGTCGATGTTCTAAACTTCTACTTTGTCTTCCATGATGCGAATGATGTGGTACGTAGCAGTTGACCATGCCGAGCAGGATCATAAGGCTGAATACTGACTGAGAGATCATGACGACTAGTAAAGCTGGCCCAAACTGAGCGACATGAATGTGTATGGAGGAAGAGATCAAACGTGCGAGGCCAGAGTTGTGTGTAGGTTGGACTGATTGATAGGCTGTGAGCAGGTGGGGGAAAGCCTCAAGTGACAAAAGGGAAAAACTTGCACAAGGTGCTCAACTGTCCAGGAACACCTATCTCGCCTGGAAATGGAGCCCCAGAAGACTCAGCCAAGACTCGTTATGATTACGTCCAAGACTTGTGGTCTGGTGAGATCCTTCTCGGTCAAAATGTCAAGATGCAGATTGAAATCTCTCACGTGTAGATAAAGGTACTACGACGAAACAGGCAGGCGCATAGTAAGCGACACGGCCTGCCCGTCTGTAGTATTTGGGTTCTCACTATGGTGGTCCAACCCCTAGGTCCAGAGCAGGTACGCCAGCCAAGGATGAAATTGACATTAATGATCCTGCATCTACTACGTATGGACCTGCAGCAAGGCAAGTAGTAACTAGCACGTTATGCAGAGTCGCGATGCCTGATACGGGCTGAAGACCGAGCGACATTCGGCGGCTGAATACCGCCCGAGCGGGCTGATATTAGTGGCGTTTGGTTCCTGCAGGGACCCGAGGTCCATGCCGACCCACGTAAGTAAATTCAACCCCATCCTTCGTTTATCTTGGCACATGTATGTTCAAGGAACAGAAACCGAGACTAGATGGCGTCTTTATTGATTGACATGCTGCGATAGTACGCGCCTTAGAAGACGACAATGTTGAGGTACCCCTGATGTGCCCATCCATCATTGAGCAGCGAATCCGGATGTTGCCCTGCTCGTTTCTCTCCCGTCCCACGATTGTCCGACTCTCGCCTAATTAATCACCCTTACAGCTTCTTTCATCGAGTGTTGTCCACTGTTGACTGCGCTGAAGACTTGCTAGTCACTGTGCGGATTTCTTTTTTGGAAAACATTTCGGCAACCATTATGACTCCTAAGGATGCCTCACTCCGGTGCCTCTATCTTGGACTTAGCCTCCTATCGACGGTGCAGGCGCTCAATTTGGGTTCCTTTGGTGGGCAGGCAGAAACCAAGTTACTGTTAGAGAGCGTCGCTGGTATGGAAACAACACCGCAGGCTCGAGAGATGCTTCTGCGGGCGACCAATAATCAGCCTGACTACACGTGCACCGCAACAAAGTCTTGTGACTTGGGTTGTTGCGGCCCTCTGTGAGTGGAAGACATCCACGAGTTTTAAAGAAAGGTGGTTAACAATCGTGGTTAGTGATGCCACCGGTACTGGTGCTTGTGGTTTTGGCCCCGTATTCTGCGGCCCCGAATGTACGAGCGACTGCGAACGGAAGTCCGAGTGCGATGGCAACAACTGGGGCCTCCAGTATGCCAACTTGACCAAATGCCCGCTCAACGTGTGCTGCAGTGAGCACGGTTTCTGCGGTACGACAATCGATTTCTGCGGCCCCGATCCTGTACCGCACCCTCAGTGCGATCTTTCCAAGCGGAGCGCCGACGCGCGTACCATCGGCTACTATGAGGGCTGGAATTATCAACGTCCATGCGGTAACATGGAGCCTGAAGAAATTCCCTTAGGACACTGGACGCACATCAACTTTGCTTTTGCGCTAATCAACCCCAAAACGTTCCACATCGAGGACATGGATCCTGGCACCGGATCGCGCTATGGTCGCGTCGCCGGACTCAAGGAGAGGCAGCCCGATCTCAAGGTCTGGATCGCTGTTGGAGGGTGGGCAATGAATGATCCTGGACCTTATCGAACAGCTTTTTCCGACTTAGCTGCTAGTGAGGCCAATCAAGATAAGTTCTTCGATTCGCTTTTGACTTTCATGGAGAGATATAATATGGATGGGGTCGATCTGGATTGGGAGTAGTAAGTCATTAGACCCATGTCGTGTTTCGTACATACACTGACCTATGCGCTCTAGCCCTGTAGCAGAAGATCGAGGCGGTATCCTCGCAGACTTCGACAACTATGTTAATCTCCTCAGACGTTTGCGTCAGCGCTTGAATACTTCCGGTAGAGAGTACGGCATCAGTTTGACACTCGTAAGTGACCAGCCTTCATGGTACTCCGCTTCCACATTGTTCCACCGAAGCTGATCCCCCACAGCCTGCTTCTTACTGGTATCTCCGTGGTTTCAATCTCCAGGAGATGGAGCCATACCTCGACTGGTTCAACATGATGACGTATGACATACACGGCGTTTGGGATGCCAGTATCGACAGCCTCGGCCCTATCGCCCAGGCGCATACCAATCTGACCGAGATAAAAATGGGTCTTGAGCTTCTATGGCGCAACAACATCAACCCAGAGCGTGTCGTACTTGGTCTCGGCTTCTACGGTCGCAGCTTTACCATGAAAGACCCAGGATGCATGACGGCAGGCTGCGAGTTTAGCGAAGGCGCCAATGGCGGTGCATGCACGGGCACACCCGGCGTACTATCTGCGGCCGAGATCAACGAGGTCATCGCTAAAGGAGCCACTGTCACGTACGACGAGAAGGCCGCTGTCAAGATAGTTACTTGGGACTCAGACCAGTGGGTTTCATTTGACGATACTCAAACGTTGGGATCAAAGATCGATTTTGCGCACCAGCATTGCTTAGGAGGGCAAGTACTATCATTTCGATTCCTAACGTGCATCACTAGTTGCTGACTGACAAACAGGACTATGGTATGGGCTATCGACCTTGATGACGGTACACTCACCAAAGCCCTTGGTGAGAATATCGAGCGACGTGAGCTACCTACCTACGAACCAAGGAATTACTTCGAGTGCGGCGCCAGACCTGAGTTGTAGACACCTCAAGGCAGGCCAACAGGGGTGTTGCTGGAAGGTCAGTCTGATCGGCCTCGATACATGTGGTCAATGACCAATCTAGCCGTCGAATTATGCACATTGCGCCGTTCAACATGCACAGAAACGCTCCTCATACGTGATTCGCCGCCGACTGATACCATGATTGGAGATTTGCTTGCTGTGACTATAGACGACTGTGACTACCTTGCCACTAAGAGTGATCAAAGTTTCTAGTGGCGAGCATATTGTTTACATGAGGTATGAAAACTATAAGCTAGAACAGACAAGGAGCGACATGCGAGTCAAAGGAAGAAGCGACAACCTTGTTACCCACAGGGTTGCGGCTTCGCTTGTACATGTACCCCCTCATCCATCGCACGACCCGCCCTTAGTATCACCAGCGCGCGATATTCCACTCCTTATCTTCTTAAGCCTGTTGAAAAATTGGCTCGATCTCGAGTTGTGCGGCTCGCCCGGTACAGACAAAGCTGGTTTGCCGTAGAGCGTGATGAGACGGTTAATGTCCATAGGGCTGGGTGCTAGCCGATTGGGAATAAGACTGCCATCATCGTATTTGAGAACGACTTCACGGTCGTCCCCTAGACCTATCCCACCTGCGCGTGAGGGATACATCATGATCGAATTTGGATCAAAATTGTCATCTGAAACCTTCTTGTCCAAAGATGGATACGGAAGCCACTCGGCTGCACTAAATCCCCATTTGCCCGCAACTTTCATGGAAACGCAAATGTGATCCAGGTCGAATTGTAGTTTATCCATCAAATTGTGATCATTCGCCTCTCTCGCTTCTGCGACCAATGTATTTAGAGTCTTACTGATTGCAGCGAAATCGCTGAGAGCCTCGCAGTCGAAGTCGCTAGGCTTGAATTTGGGCTGACTACTTTTGCCACTCCAAAGGCTCCAGCCATTGTTGTAGTCTCCAGAAGTGATACGCCAGTAGCGAGGATTCTGGTGCTCATGGATCAGGCCCCAGACGTGACCAAGCTCGTGGGCTATGTTGGCATGGATGTCGTCCTGACCGATGCCTTCATTGTCGGAAAGATTCGTTACAGGTCCCAGGTCCGCATCAGTAGGCTTACCATCATTTGCCGCTTCGTTGATAGGTGGGATGCCCAAAGTCGACGATAGCTTGCCATCGGTATTGTATTTGATAAGCAAGACGGTGTCGCGATTGCTTTGCCACTCATCCTTGGAAGGGACCTCTTCGTAAGAAAAGCCGTGTGCTTTGAGAGGTGCCCATAGTTCTATGGCCCGTTCCCAGATTCCCTTGAGCCTCAAATTCTCTGGATCTTCAAAGTGGTATCTTATCTTCTTGTTGGGCCAGAGGCGCGGGGCCAATTTGTCGTTTGGCCGGCTCTCCATGGAGAAAGCGCGCTTCATAAGTGAAGACGTTGAATTATATGTCTCAAAACCCAGATAGTCCGGAGTGGAGTTTGTTCGCTGGTTTGGCGCCTTTGCCTCCCAAAATCTGCTGCCACCCAGGACCCCTTCCGCGCTGGCTAGCAAGAGGCCCGAGACGAAGGTTGGAGAAAGATACATGATTTTTAAGAAGATGAATGAGTGTGGTGTAGGATGCTATCGCAAGGTGAACGAATGACAAAGTCTCAGGACAATGGGCTGTAGATGTCTTTTGCACGAAGAAAAAGAGTATTTGGATCGACTCGGTAAGGTCGCGGAGAGAACGGATGCACAAATCCAAGACACGTTTGTCGCGACATGTTAGCCTGCATCTACGTACCCTGAATTCGTCTTTGCAAATTGCACGCGCTTAGAGTTCGGTTATGATTCCTTCGACGTGAGCCCTGTCAACGTGCTATCTTGGTCAGATCCGTTCACCCTTGCTAGTTCCCGTCATTATCGATCAAAACGGCAGGTGTTCCCTCTGATAGACTAAACCCTGCGTTAGATTGATGTGTGCCGTGCTTAGCACTATAGCAGCGCCAAGGCCAAACTAGCTTCTAATCTTGCATGCTATCCGAGGCCAATGTACGTACCTGGTCGCTACAGCACGCCAAGCTCTTTGAGACTAGGTAAAATATAGTAGTGCCAGCTCGAATGACGGCTAAAAAACAAAGTGTGCAGCTTTGTGTGATTAAAGTATGCAGCCAAGCAATGAGTAATGTTCTTACTTCTATATGCGACGTCCACCGAAATTTGAAACCTCATCCTTTCCAACGGCTCGAATATTGGATTTTCGGGACTGTCCATTCAGGTCAGTGGGTACCATGAGTCTCAGTCTCTTCTCTGGGCCCGCAAATCTTTTCCACAATCTGAGACTTTTAGCTCAATTGTTCAATTGACATTGTACGCCAAAGCCGGACCAAGTGCCCCTGAAAGTAGTTCACATCGACGTCCAGTTTTTGAGCATTGGATCTGGACACTTTTCTCTTGCGTGCTTCATCAGTCACTGTATCGCGAAGTTATACTTCCCGCTACCAGTATGCGGCCGTCCATTCAGCAAGTATGTTGGCTGGCTTTGAGCTCCGTTTATCCAATTGTCGTGGCTCAAACATCTAGCCCTGACGGTGCGGTCCATCCAGGACAGCCGGCGAATTGCAACGGATGGCATACCGTCATTTCTGGTGACAATTGTCAGACTGTGTCCCAGCGTTACGGTATCTCACTGAGTCAATTCTTTGAATGGAATCCCGCCATTTCCTCTGACTGCCTCAACAATTTCTGGCTCGAATCGGCCTACTGTGTGAGGATCGGAGAAATCAATACCAGACCCAGCAGCTCCGCCGGTGCAACCTCAAACCCCACGTCCACATCGACGTCTATGGTCACGTCACAAACGACCATTACCTCAAACTCTGCAACACCAACTACCTCTTACAACTCGACATACTCAGTCTTGCACCCAGTCACCTCTTGGAACGTGTCGACCACGAGTACTGACAAGACGTGGCCGCCTACCCAGACGCTCGCGGGTCAGACTGCCATATGCAATGCGTGGCATCGCGTTGTTCCTGGTGATACATGTCAGCGAATGCTTGACAAATATGGCCTGAAGTCCATGGTCGATTTTTTGAGATGGAATCCCGCGGCCAAGGAGGACTGTGAGATGCTCATCGCCGACTACTGGGTGTGCGTCGGGGTGCAGCGGCAGATGGGTAACACGGATCTCGAATGGGAAACGGCTCAGCCTGAGTTTACCGCGCCTCCAGAGCCCACCCAGTACACACCCGTTACGCTGCCCGCAGCTGACTCGAGCTTCGCACCGATCCCGTCTCATGGGCCTATGCCCATCGACTGTAAAGTTTACCACAGGGCCACAGCTGACCAGAACTGCAATGACATTGTCAAACTGTACAACTACTTTTCACAGGAGCAGTTCTTGTCGTGGAACCCAGCTCTCAACGGAAATTGTCTGGGTCTTTGGTTGGATACGTGGTATTGTGTTGGCGCATATGCGGATGACAATCTCCCACTGCCTGCGCACCAGACCACCAAGCCAACTGAGGGCAACGTCCCCCTGGGATACCCCAATGATTGCGCGCGATGGTATCAGACAACCTTCGACGACACGTGCGACCTTATCGTACTTATGTTTGGCAGTTTCAGCATGGCCGATTTTGTCAAGTGGAATCCGACTGTCTTCCGTGATTGCAGCGGCATCGTTTTGGATGCATGGTACTGTATAGGTCGCCCGGATACGCCGATAACACGTACTCCAGGCGCACCATGGCCGACACAGTTGACAACGTCGATGCCGATGACGACGTCTACCAAGCCATCATCAACTGCAACAGGAGCGCCGCAGCCTGTGCAGACACCTTCGCCTGTCCGTGAAGGCATGACGAAAGATTGCGTGCGATTTCACCTACAGCAGCCTGACGAGTTTTGCTGGGCGATGGCGTCCGGTGCTGGTATCTCCTTGACGTGAGTTCTTCCCCAACTGAAAGGTTTTGTGCTCGGGGAATCGTGCTAATTATTGTTTCACAGCCAATTCTACGAGTGGAACCCCGCTGTCGGTGACGACTGTCAAAATCTGTGGCCAGATTATTACTATTGTACCGGTGTGTGAAAGCCCGGGCGACTCTGAGAGAGGGACGACTCGAAGGCGAGCTGCACCGGCATGAAACTTTGCGCCCTGATAAAAAATGAAAACGATATTGCATGTAGTGTGTGGAGTGGCCTGATTGTCAAGATGGAGTGTTCCATCCCGCGGACCTCGGGATTAATCATATCTTGCCTAGCGGCTTTTAGCGTCATTCAAATAGATTGTGTTCCTGCACAACTTCGTCTCATGCTCGGCACAAAGCGCACCGCCGATGATGTGAAATCGCTTTGCGCTACATGCTCCGGGTCCGGCCAAGGCCAATACTAAGCCCGACTATATCCATGTTTGTGCAGGCTCGTTGGTCGAATACATCATCGCATTAGCTCCATGGCAGCGGTGTAGGACTAGCCGAAGAATGAACTTAACGTCTGTTCTTTCTCCCAATCAAAGCCGACACACCTGGCTCTTGGGGCCTCATGACCCGCACCGACCGCTTCGGCAGCGAATGTCTTATGAGCCTGCCCCCTAATTTCAAACTCAGATTCTTTTACCTACTTTCTGACGTCTCAACAATGACTAAATTCAGCATATGGGTGAAGAAGCACCTAGGTATCAAATCGGGTACCCAGAAACAGTCGACGGATGAGCCGCCATACCTACCATTGTCGCGACGACCAATTACACCAAAATCGCTCGATACACGTACATGTCTATTCTTCCAATTACCCTATGACATCAGGAGTATGATTCTCTTCATGGCCTTTGGTGGCCGTACCCTTCATGTGGACCTTGTGCGTCAGAAGAATGTATGGCAATGGGGAGGCGCTGTGTGCTGCAGAAATAGGGATCCTGGGTGCGGAATGTCACAAGGCGGGTTTGCGACCAAAAGATCTGCTGTCCGCACGATGCCGTGCCCCAGTGATTACACCTCTGTCAGATTGATGCGTTACGGTTGGGTCGGTCCGTGGTGCGACAGATGCATGGACTCAATTTATAGAAGCGGAGGGGGGTACTGGGAGGAGGACAATACTGGAATCATGGGGTTTCTGCTGTCATGCAGACACGCGTACACAGAGGGGATTGACGTGCTCTACTCTACCAACTGCATCAGCATCGAGAGTGAGCCCCTGCTTCTTCACCTACCTCAGCTTCTTCCTTCAAACAGGCTCGCATCAATCACTTCTCTTGAGATGCTTATCAGGGCGCATCGAGTTGGGCATGCTGACGGGAGTTCATCCTTCAGTATGGATCACCTGAAGCCGATGCTTGACCATGTCGCCATGCTCTGCCACCACCTCCGTGGGCTCTGCTTGTCATTTGTTGTTGACAGCGACTGCTGCGAGATTCTTGATGGCCCAACACTGCCGCTAGTCGATTCCTTCTACACGTCCAAGCCGTTGCGAAACATGAGAGTGGAGCTACCAACTGCCGACTACAGACCAGCATGTAGATCATGTGTTATTGGCGACCATCCCGATGAAGCGCGCACCAATCATAAGCAGGAACGATCGCTCTGGAGATCTTTGGATGACGAGAAACCAAGAACGCAGAACAGAAGTATCGAGCGCTATCCTTATCCCCCACTGAAACTGCCGGCGGCACATGGGGAGGAGATCAGAGAGAGCCAAGGATACTGGCTATGTGAAGGTGATCGTGGGCCAGAACCGCCGCTGATAATGTGTCATGTACCGTAGTGCGCTGAGAGTGGTTTGGCTAACAGAGATGTCGGTACATTGCACTTGTTATGCTAGTATGTTAAGGATATTGTATTATAAACTCTTAATAACTTTACTTTATTCTACTTTAAAAGTTCTTTTTGTTTAAATTAATAAATATACTATATATAACAGGTAAGTAAAACGCTATTTATATATGCTATATAATATTATAGTAGAAAAAGTTTCTATTTATAAAATAGCGTTAATTTATATAGCTCTAAAATATATCTAAATAATTATAAAGTACTATAACTAAAGTAATAGATTATAAACTATTTTATAAAGAGAGTAATAGATTTAGTAATATATTAGTATTAAGAATAATATTATAACTAAGAAAAACATTTTAAAGAACTAATTATAAATTAGTAGCTCTATAATATATAAATGCTAGTAGCTATAGCTAATATTAAGTAGTAAAAATGTAAAGATATAGAGTATAGTTAAAGAGAAATAATAAAATAAATATTTTAATTACTATTAATATTTAAGTTATACTCTAAAATCTAGTTTTGATAATAAGTAAAGTTATTAGATATAATAAAGTTAGAAGTATTAGGCTTTTAGTTCTAAAGTAATAAATTATAGCTATAATAAAAATAATATAAAAGCTACTAAGTATTAAGAACTACTTAAGATACTTAAATATTAAAATAATTTTTATTCTATAAGTAAACCTATAGTCTACTTTTTAACTATAGCTTAGTAACTACTAGTTTCTCTATACTCTTAAAGATAATATAATACTAAATATAGTAATTAAAACTTAGCTATTTAATTTAATACTATTACCTCCTAAATAAGCTAATTATACTAGATAATAGTAATAATAATAATAATAAGAATAAGAAGCTTACTAGAATAGTTTAAAAAGCCTTTTTTACTATATTATATACTAAGTTTAAAAATAATTAACGTTAATATTTAAAAAAACTAGCGTATTATATAGTAAAGAATAAAGGTAAAGTCTACACTAAGCGCGCTTAGCAATATATATATACGTAAGAGTATAGTCGTAATTATACTAGAAAAGACGCTATTATTATAGGTATAAACAAAGAAAATAGTAAAAGTAATAGAGAATACGTAACTTAGATAGAGATAAAGATATATCTTTTTTAAAGTAATTATTTAGCTACTATAATAGTTAATATATAATAGATAGGTTCTAAAAGAACACCTATATACTATAGCTTTAATAAGACTAATAAACTTCTAAATAAACTTATAATAGTTTACTTAAACTATTTAGTTAATATATTAAAATAGCTACTATTGTAGCTAATAATAAATAAAAAAATATTTACTATCTAATAGTAGACTTAGAAATTATAAAAATATAATTTTATCTTAAGATCTAAGTCTAAATACTCTTTAAGTACTAGTTTAAGTATTATAAGTAACTATACTATATATTATATAGCTAGTTATAGTAGATTAATAGTTTTTCTAAAGACTGATAATTATATAATATTTTAAGTAATATTATAAGTACTACTTAATATATACTTATAACGCGTTAGTATATAATAATATATTATAAGACTAAAAGATCTAAAAGAACTTAATTTTATAGATATACTAGTAATAAATTATAAGTATAACGTTATTAAGTTATACTATATTAAATTATAGGAGAAGTATATTTCTAAATACTTACTTATAGTAAGATCTACTATAATACTGAATTAAATATAGTAATAATAATCTACTAGTACTCTATATACTTTAATATATAGAATACTTAGAAGATACTCTAAAATTATATAAACTTTATTTTAGACTTTAAAAAAGAGGGCCTTATACTAATAATCTTTAAATATCTTTATCTTTTAAGCTTTTTTATATACTACTACTAGCTATAGCTACTTAAAAAAATTTATAACGATAGACTGAGTAGTAATATATATATATATATAATAAAGGCTATTATACTTCTATATAATTAATTAGAAAGCTAATAAGTTAAGTAATAAAATAAATATTATAAAAATAATTATAAAGTAAAAAAAAAGCTTTTAGTTTTAGATTTTTATAAATATCTAAAGGTAAATTAAAAGTTTTTCTAAAATCTATTAATAAAGCTACTTTACTATTATAGCTTTTAGTTACTCTTACTTTATTTATTCTTTTATTATTTAGTTAGTTAAATTAGTAAAAAGATTATATATATATATATAGATTAAGAAAGTTTGAGGAATATAAGTAGGTTAAGTAGATTTAATATATAATTAGTATAAGAATAAAGATGTAGAAAAAAAGAGTTATAGATATTAGTATACTTACCTTATTTAGTAAAGCTTATTAAGTTTAAAGAATAACTAGTACCTATAAAATAAGATAGATATAGCTATAGCTATATTAGTAATTTAGTAATATAGTATTATATAAAATTTTAATAGTATAATATAAGAAGCCTAATATCTAAAAACTATAGTTAATATTATTATTATCTTGTTATAAAGGAATTAGTAGTAATAATAGTATGATAATTAGTTACTACTATAAATTTATATTTCACTATATTTTGTATAAGTAGTAAAGAATACTACTTTATGCTATAAATACTAATATATACTAGAGGCTACTAATATTTAATTTACTATAGTGAAGATTATAAGTTTTTTTTCTATTAAACTATAATTTTATAACTTAAGTAAGCTTTTTATTAAGTCTTATTATTTAATACTTATATTAAAGCTTAATATTAGAACTTACTTTTATTAATTTAATTAACGTGCTAGTAACAATATATAGGTATAACGCTGTTAAGTTACACTATATTATATTGTAGTAGAACTATATTTCTAAATACTTACTTAGCTTTACTATATATAGCTATATATATACTTAATTAGAAACTTATTAATTATAACTAAAGCTAATACTATAGGTTCTACATAGTTTTAAAGAGCTACTATAGAGTTTTAAATAGTTACTATAAAGCTTAATATTAGAATAAAAGCATAGTTTTATTAAAGATAATTATAGTTAATAGTTGGTAACTAGAGTTTTAAACTATAGAATTAAATTCTAGAAAGTATTTATATATAGACTTAAATATTCTTCTTTCTAACTTCTATAATCTAATATCTTATCTTTAATATATAGTAAATTATTATATATAACTATATTATAGGTATAGAGCGCCTAGATATAGAGGGCCCTATAGTTTGCTTAATAATAATAATAATAATAATAATAACAATAATAATAATAATAATAATAATAATAATTATAAATAATACGCTAATAGCCGCCTATTAATATAGTAAAGACTAATAGTAATTAGATAAGAGGTATAAGAGAGTAGAAAAGTATACTTAAGTTAAACTTAGTATAGACTATCTTAAAAGTAACCTTAAGTACTAGGTTTAAGCTCTTATATAGTTAGTTAGCTTATCTAAGTTAAGCTTAGAAGAGTTTAAAAGTAAGTTAAGTAAGAAACTATTTATCTTTAAAGTTCTTTTTATTAGTATCTTTATTATATAAGCTAGAATAGATATAAGTTAAAAATATAAAAGCTTTACTTATAACTAGAATAGAGAAGTAAAGTAATTATATAATATAGTTATAGCTTATAGCTTAAAAACTAATAAGTAGAAAAAATACCTCTAAAATATCTTTAATAGTCTATTTAATAGCTAGCTAGACTTTATCTATATTACTATCTAAGTTCTAGAATAAGTATAATAAGAAATTATTATAAATATATAGTAGATACTAATAAAGTAGTTAATAATTAATTTAGTAACTTAAATAGCTTAGAAAGTAATAATAAAAGAATATAGTTACGTAACTAATATAGTTACTTAAGATAATAGAAATGCTAAGCTATAAGTCTTTATAGCTGCTTAGTAGTAATTATAATTATAATTATATTAGTACTTGGACTTAGCTTAGTAATAAAGTAATTACTATAATACGCGTAATACTATTACTACTTAATTTCTAGATAGTATTAGTAATAGCTATAATAATAAGTATATCCTATTAAAGTATAAGGTAGCTTATTATATAGGAGCAGAAGGTTAGTATTATAACGTTAGTAAAATAAGATATTTTAGTATATTTAAGCTTTAGTACTTAAAATTCCCTTAATAATACTATAATATTATATAATAACGCGATAACGCGATAACACGTAATATAGAAACACTATAGGCTCTATCCCTAAGGCCTAGAGGAGATAGAACTTACTTTTAAGCTCTAAAGTAGTATATTTAATTATATACTTATACTTCTTAACCCTCTAAATTCTAATATAGTAGTAAAGCTACTTTAAATTATTTAGATGTTACTTTTACTTTTCTCTAAAAGTTCTATATAAAGCTTACTATAAACCTATTATTAATAAGTCTAAGATAAAGCTATATTAAAATATAAGTAGAAATATTAACTTCTAATATATTAATAAGTAAGCTAGAGATATATATATATATATAAACATATTATTAGGTAATTAAATTAGGATAAAGTATTATTAGATAATATATAATATAAAAGTCTAAAAATTATTTATAAGTAAAAACTTAGCTTAGCAAAAGTATAAACTATAGCGCTATTTAGATTTATTTAAGATAAAACTACAATTAAATAATATATCTAATAAAAGAAAGGTTAACTTTAGATAAAGTAGTAGTAGAAGTAGTAGTAGTAGTAGTAGAAGTAGTAGTAGTAGTAGTAGTAGTAGTAGTAGTAGTAGTAGTAGTAGTAGTAGTAGTAGTAGTAGTAGTAGTAATACTAGTAATAACAAATTAAGGCGGCTGTAGTAGATAATATAAAATAGTATAAAGTAATAATAATAACTAAGTATATATAAGAAGAAAGAAATATATTACGCTCTACTAAAGAGTTTAAAATGCTTAAAGTAAACTATACTTATAACTAAGTAAATTAAAGTATAAATATTAATATATTAGAAAATAATTCTATTATAAATAAGTGTATTAATATCTTTAAACCCTTCTTTATCT